CAACTGCATCTTAAAACAGGCATTGATAATGTTTACACATAGCATCAGCTGACAACTGCCTCTTAAAACAGGCATTGATAATGTTTACACACAGCACCATCTGACAACTGCCTCTTAAAACAGGCATTGATAATGTTTACACACAGCACCATCTGACAACTGCCTCTTAAAACAGCCATTCATAATATTTACACACAATACCATCTGACAACTGCCTCTTAAAACAGGCATTCATAATGTTTACACACAATACCATCTGACAACTGCCTCTTAAAACAGGCATTTATAATGTTTATACACAGCACCATCTGACAACTGCCTCGTAGAACAGACATAAATATTTTTTACACACAGCACCATCTGACCACTGCCTCTTAGACATATATATGTTAACATACAGAACCATTGGAACACTGCCTCTCAAACTAGACATTAATAATGTTTTCACCAGCACCACCTGACCACTGCCTTAAAAACAGACTTAAACATAATGGTCGCACACAGCGTCACCTGACTACTACTTTTTAAAGTCGACATACAAATCATGTTTACTTACAGCAGACATATATATATATAATGTTAACATACAGCAAACTTTTACATAATATTTACATACAGCAGACATATATGTCACGAACGCAGGCACATCTTTTTGTTATTGTGAATGGTGAGTGAATTGGTCACGTGTGCGTGTGTGTGTACGTGTGAAGAAGGACGGGTAGTGCATGGGCTGGACAGGTGAGAGGAGTGGCCATTGTTTGGCAGAGCTGTTTATAATTAGTTTCCCAGCTGTAATTCGTGTGTGATGACGCCCGGATATCTGACTGGGGTAAGTATTCTTTCTATCTTTCAGAAATTGTTGTTTTATTTGGCTATTTCGTGCCATATTTTAATTGTCCCTTTTGTCGGTCAACCAATCTATCTATCGATGCGTGTCCACTCGAGCGTAACTATTTGCTGTTATAGTATACAGGTGTGTTGATTTTAAATGTCATAATTAACAGTATTAGGTAATTAGGATCTATGTGGTATTATAGTAATGTGTTGATATGTACAAGTAATTTAGTTGCCTTTAAGCGTATATTTCGCTTAATAACATTATTTTGTTCGAGTAGTTGTATTTGCCTGTGCAAGGGTTGAGTGCGCGCAGGTGTAAAAAGTACGGAAGCCACCAAGTAGCATATATGGTTGCGGTGATACGTGCGTTTTGGCATTATTATTATAAGAAAATGGTCACGCATCCTAGAATTTAATATGTTTGTAGGGGTATATGTACAATTAGGTTTGAATTTATAAAGGGAAGTAGAATGGATGGTAAATTATATAGTTAGTAAGGAATGTCTTAGTTGGATTAAAGTATGGATGTGCGTGAGTGTTTATGATATTTTGTCATGTTTATTATAGCTTCACACGACGGGCAGACAACTAAGTTAGGTTACCCAAAGCCTGCAACAGACTGGTATGCAACAGACTAGTATGCAACGGGGCCGGCCAGTGTTGCAACAGCAACTACCAGGAACACGGTGGTCAGCTACCAGGACGTTCAGACAAGACGTCAGGCGGGCTATGCAGGCAGTGTTGATGTTGGAGATCCTGGTCTGAGAGGCACCAGTGATGTTGATAGGCATATGCTGTTGTATTTATTGTGTTAGCTGTGGGCTAAATTTTGTTTACATTTTGTGCACCGTCTCGAGCTGGTGAACGACGAGTTGGAACCTGTAAAGACCACTGGGTGACTGTATTTCCTCGGAGATATGTGAAGACTCATAGTGTGTGAAGAGACTGTAGTATAACATTTAGAGGCGTGGAAGATAGAGAGGGTAAATGCGAGTGTGTTATTGTCTATATTTAGTGTATTTAGTGTAAATAAACTTGTATATATCAGTATTGCACTATCTCTTGTGGTTTTTTCCCGTGAGTGCCGAACTGAGGCTAGTCCCGCGTTACAATATATATAATGTTTACAAATGTTTACATACAGCAGACATATACATAATGTTTACATACAGCAGACATACACAATGTTTACATACAACAGACATATACATAATGTTTACATACAGCAGACATATACATAATGTTTACAAACAACAGACATACACATATATATAGAAAATGTTTACATACATCAGACATACACATAATGTTTACATAGTAGACATTTAGAAAATGTTTATATACAACAGACATACACATGTTTACATACAGCAGACATACACATGTTTACATACAGCAGACATATACATAATGTTTACATACAGCAGACATACACAAAATGTTTATATACAGCAGACATATACATAATGTTTACATACAGCAGACATATACATAATGTTTTCATGCAGCATACATACACATAATGTTTACATACAGCAGACATACACATGTTTACATACAGCAGACATATACGTAATGTTTACATACAGCAGACATATACATAATGTTTACATACAGCAGACACATACATAATGTTTACATACAGCAGACATATACATAATGTTTTCATGCAGCATACATACACATAATGTTTACATACAGCAGACATACACAATGTTTACATACAACAGACATATACATAATGTTTACATACAGCAGACATATACATAATGTTTACAAACAACAGACATACACATAATGTTTACATACCGCAGACATTTAGAAAATGTTTACATACATCAGACATACACATAATGTTTACATAGTAGACATTTAGAAAATGTTTATATACAACAGACATACACATGTTTACATACAGCAGACATATACATAATGTTTACATACAGCAGACATATACATAATGTTTACATACAGCAGACATACACATGTTTACATACAGCAGACATACACATAATGTTTACATACAGCAGACATACACAAAATGTTTATATACAGCAGACATATACATAATGTTTACATACAGCAGATATACTCAAAATGTTTACATACAGCAGACATATACATAATGTTTACATACAGCAGACATATACATAATGTTTACATACAGCATACATACACAAAATGTTTACATACAGCAGACATATACATAATGTTTTCATGCAGCATACATACACATAATGTTTACATACAGCAGACATACACATGTTTACATACAGCAGACATATACATAATGTTTACATACAGCAGACATATACATAATGTTTTCATGCAGCATACATACACATAATGTTTACATACAGCAGACATATACATAATGTTTACATACAGCATACATACACATAATGTTTACATACAGCAGACATACACATGTTTACATACAGCAGACATATACATAATGTTTACATACAGCAGACATACATAATGTTTACATACAGCAGACATACACATAATGTTACATACAGCATACATACACATAATGTTTACATACAGCAGACATCTAGAAAGTGTTTACATACAGCAGAAATATAGAAAATGTTTATATACAGCAGACATATACATGTTTACATACAGCATACATACATTAAACACCTACATATTGTTTATATATAGCAGACATATACATAATGTTTATATATAGCAGACATACACATAATGTTTACATGCAACAGACATTAAGAAAATGTTTACACCACTTGATCACTGCCGTTATAAACAAATGGCAACTATGTTTTTAACGTTATAGGATTACGAGATCTAAAGGATAGGTGTTAAGGGATATGGCTCTCCATATTTGATGTGTTCAAACTTCGACTTTTCGACAACGTATTTTTATTTAGATTTGCCATTTATCTCGCGATAAACTCAAACACAAGACTGATAGATGTTAGTGATTTATAGCCTGTTTAACTACATCAGGCTAATTGTCTTGCCACCATCTCTATAGTCAGCTTGCTGGTGTCTATAGGAACCATTAGCCTTAAGTTTGTCAGATTATAAAACTGAATAAGAAGTCAATAATGTTATACTACTAATGTTACAACTACAGGCCAAACATAAAAACAACCAAGTATCTAAAGACGGGGAGTCAATGTAAACAGCCATCCTTACTAAAACCATAATACGGAAAATGTTTTTATGAATTTAACGACCCTTTATAAACCGCATGTTTTCCTTTTACTGTAAACGCATTCGTAATACGTATAAAGCTGACAGGCACCTGAACACGTTTAGTCGTGAGCACCTCTATACTACTTAAATACTAGTTGCCATATAAATCTTTTCCCTTATTGAATTGGACAGGTAGATCGCCTGTCGATGTTAAAATCTACACTGATGTCCATTATAAAGTATTCTAAGTCCTCAAATGAGGCCTTCCAAATTTCTGAGAACATGAAAACGCATGAAATACAGCAAGCAAAAATTGCAAAAGTACAATTTTGGGGTTTTTTTAGCAAAGCTTTCACACCGAAAACATTTCCCGATATGCGGTCTACTGTTTGACAAGCTGATGTCTTACATTTAACATGGAAGTCTCAATCTTTATGTAACTTCCTGCTAACGTTACAGACATAATAAGGCTCCACACAGTCCTGTCCGTGCTATCGCACAGATCTCTTCACTACACCTGTACTGGGATAATCTTACACTTGTATCAAGATAACCAATCAATGATAACAACCCGTTCATTGTTGTACGTGTAACTATCTATACCTTTGAGTAGTTTCAAGCGTTGTTAAAACATTTCACCATGCCTTAGAGTACATGTACACAATTAATCTGACGGAGTGGCATACGCATGCAAATATCTAACTACACGGGATATTTGAAGGTATATGTGGGAAACAAAAAACAGATCTGACCAGATATGATATTATACATGATCTGACTTCCGGTTGTTGACGCATCTTCTGAAAATGACCAATTCACTAAGAAGGAGATATTGATACACCAAGGGTTTCTGATAAAGCGATGTTTTCTATGTTTGATATATTTTGACATGTCTTGAGTTAACATTCGAAATATACATTATATCCTCCTCCTCGCATTCGTTCTGGTTGTCGTCATAACATATTAAACCGGAACAGTATGAATGTAAATATTTTTCACATGATTGAGGTGTCGCTGGTACGTTCAATCTTCTCAGTAAAGGCATTGACACCGCCTGTTGATAACACTGACAGCTCATCGTTGGCCTTGACCTCTTCCAATTCAACTTTAATCTCTCCGCAGAATTCTTGTGTATTTATCGTCCCTGCTGTCTGTTGTTCCAGCCATCTTCTTCGCTGGAATTAGAAAATGAACATCTATAGTAAGCCTCTGGTGATTGACAATGAAAGCAATTAGAAAATTATAAGAGATATTACTTGATATGTGTATTATTAAATAAAATACCAGTGGTAATGTGAAATTTTCATTTTTTCAATGACACCTTTAACTATCTTATTCAAACTTTTCAGAAAATCTCATTTATATATCACTGTCGACTTGGCCCATCATCTACAAATATCATATATCTACACACTGTTTCTTTTAACTCTGAATATTTCAATATACTTTTTCGTTGTGTACAGAGGTATTTGCTATAGTTTTCTAGAAATAAGGATACAGAAATGATCATAGTGATTAATATAAAAAAAATCATGACTAGGGCAGTGTAGCATTGCTTAATTGTTCGGCAGGTGATAGGCTGAACATTAAAAGGTATATTAAGGTTTAATGCTGAGGCTGAAAGATTACTTTTCATAATGTCATTTCATACAAATTATGTTATAAAACACAATTGCAATTATTAAAGGAAACACAAATATTTGGTATTGAGAGACATAAAAATATATTCGATTGTGAATTGGCTAGCATGGTTATCTCATCTTGACATTATATTTGTAAATTACAGTCACATATTAGCATCTATGGTGTTGAAATATTGCCACAATATATTAGGCATGGTCGTTGCACGGTGCCCTTCGGTGGAACATGTAAGCTTGGGCACTAGTGCCCGTCGGGAAATCAGTTCGACGTTATTTACAGTAGCCACCCCCATAGAAAAAAAACAAAGCTCAGATTAAAAAAATACACGTACACGTATACTTCAATGAAATTTAGACTTAATTCTTAATAGTGTGTCATGTTTTAATAGTATGATCGATTTATGTGAGTTATTCTCAAGACCCTGATAAATTCCGAATACTTTCCATCCCACGTTTAGTATGACCACGTGGTTTAGCCCTTCCGCTCTCATTCCATTTCGTGCTTTTGGAGGGGAGGAGTGCTGGATCAAGAGGAATTAAGGACAGCCTTGCGTTGTCACATACGCAGTTTAAAAAAAAGTCGAAGTCATTGTTATAACATTTGTAACATTTGTTGGCTCGGTTATTCATGCATGTTTTTCTAGTTCTAGCACTCTTTGAGCTATGTACACTGTAAGAAAAACAAGGCGGCGAGGGAAAGCGACTACTAGGTTTGCTAAGAAGGCTCGTAAAGAGACAGTTTTAGCAACAGACCCAGTCCTAGTGCAATCTGAGGAGGAACAAGTCACAGATCCAGGGGTTGCTGAGGCGGCGTCAGAGGCATCTACTGGAGGTACGTTAAATCCTCCACCAATTGTCAGTGTAGTTGATGATTTGGCGGTACATGCTCCCCAAGTCATTCGATCAAAAAATCACGAATGGGGAATATGTGAACCTGACTTGTCTTCTGGACAATACATCTGGGGATGATAGGGTTAACACTCATAAAATCTCCTTGATGGATGAGGAACTGGTGGTTAGGCTCAAGGTAACGTCTAAAAAGATTACTGACATATCCCATTGGACTGACGCATTTCTCATTTTCACTAGTATATACACATCAGTGCATCCCCATTAGTTGCATGGCATTCTAAAGTATATGCGCACTGTACGATTAGGTGCCCAGAGGTCTGGGGGTCAAAACTGTATATAATGAATAGTTTCGGCTGAGAAAGGCTCGTAACCCAGAAAGTTCATGGGGAAAGCTGGATAATGAATTGTTTTTACTCTACATGACCCCCCAATCATCTCGCGATAGGCAAAATGTTAATGCTAACAATGGGAATGGGTCACAAAAGTGTTTTGACTTCAACTATAAGGGTAATTGTACCAGAGTAGTATGTACCTATTCACATCGGTGTCTATGGTGTAACGGTACCAACCCCTAGACCAGATGTTTTCAGAACAATAGGAATTCTTCATCCTTTCGAAACAAAACCGGAAACTCTCAAACCAGTCACTTGCCCAGCCAAAAAACAATGTTCAACAAAATATGAGCTCTGGGAAAGTCTCCAATTAGCATACATTCACTGAGTAGGTGGACCTCTAGCTATCCTAGGGCAGATATGGGTAGAGAATTAATGTTAGGTTTTTCCAACGGATTTAGGATTCACTATCAAGGACCAAGAGTTTCAACCTTTGCAAAGAATTTAAAATCTACAGTGTCTCATGAAGCTGAGACAAGGGACAAGACAATTAAGGAAGTTGGGTAGAATATCAGGCCCTTTTAATACCTTGCCAATCTCTACTCTTCATGTAACCCCATCGGGTTGGTTCCGAAGACAAATGGTACATGGAGACTAATGACTAATTTGTCTTATCCACTTGAAGGAAGCATCAATAGTTTTATCGATCCAAATGAAGCCCTCAAAACTAGGAAAATGGGCTCTACTTGGGAAAATGGATATTAAATCTGCCTTCCCATTGATTTCAATACACCCCTCAGAAGTTTAAGGGGGAATTCTACATTGACAAATGTTTACCTATGGGGTGTTCAATATCATGTAGCATTTTTCGAAAAGTTTTCAACGTTTATTAAATCGGTTGTGATGGTTCAGTCTAAGGAAAAAAACGGTGGACCATTATCTAGATGACTTTCTATTTGCTGGAAAAGGTGGTAGTGGGACATGTGCACGTTTGATGAGGATTTTTTGGGGAGGTTTGTGAAGAGCTGGGCATTCCTATAGCAGGGGAAAAAACCGAAGGCCCAAAAACAGTAATTATTTTCTTGAGGGTTAGAAATTGACACTGAGAAAATGGTTGTAAGAATTCCTTATGAAAAACAGTTAGCACTTATAGCTGATATAAACTTGGTTTTACTAAGGAATGCTTCAGCCGTTAACAGGTACTTTATCGTTCTATGCCAGTGTTATTACAGTGGCTCGAGCATTCTTCCGAAGGATGTTTGATGCCATGATGGGAATTAGCAAACCTTTCCGCTTAGTAAGGATAACATCAGGAATCAAAGAGGACTTGGAAATGTGGCCGATTTTTCTGAAACATTTCAATGGGGTGTGTTACATCTCAGAAGCCAACTGGTGCCCCAGTGATACTTTGGGCTTATTTACAGACAGTGCAGGTAGTGGTGACTTGGGTTGTGGGGAGCTATTTGGGTTCAGATGGTCAGTTTTTAAATGGCCGTGTACCTGGCAAAAAATGCCAATTATGAAAGACCTAATATTCATAGAGCTAGTTCCCATTTTGTTAGCCGTACCAACCTGGAGATTGGAGTTCAGGCGTAAAAAGATTGTGTTCAATGTAGACAATGAGACACTTGTTACCATTCTAAACAGGAAAACCTCCAAATCCACTAGAGTCATGTCATTGTTGCGCCCATTGTTAATTTGTTGTATGAATAATAATATCCAGTTCAAGGCCATTCACGTGTGATTTTAAAATCTGTAACATGCATCATACCTTTCCGAAATCGACACCAAAGTTTAAATATCTGCGTGCCTTTTTGGGAAGATATGGAAACAGTTGGTCACCAAGAGGTAATATATATCTCACGTCTACTTCAACTGCGGATGGGTGATCTAGAAAACAGAAAGCAGACAGTTATCAGAATTTTTTTCTGGTTTTTGTTTTTGTTTTTGTTTTTTTTTTTTTGTTTTTTTGTTTTTTTTTTTTTTTTGTTTTTTTGTTTATTTGTTTTTCTTTTCTTGTGAGATATGTTGAAGGCGGGTTTTGATTTTACTTAATACTGACTCTTTTTTTCTTCATTCGCTGCTTCAGCATAAGCAGGCAAGTCGCCGTCAAAAGTGTACAATCTATATAAGCGGTATTTGAAAATAATTCATTGTAAATCTCATAAACACATTCTCAGTTAATTGATTTACCTTAATTTAGGAGCTAGTTTTTATTCTTCAACGCAGAACCAATATATCTTGTGCAACAAGTCAAATTTACAGTTGTCCTTCTAGATCGAAGTTGTGCCAGGTCGACTTTTCACCTTATTAATTTGTCAATAGAAGCTAGGCATCAAATTGCCTTTTTTTTCCAAATCGGACACTTCTAAATAATCACCTGTCAGCAAGCTCACGATAGATCCCAGACCAATTGTCAATAATATCCCTATGGCTCCGAACCAACGAAAGGACACCGAATATAACTTGTCTATGCCTTGACTAGAAAAGGTAATTGGTACAAGACATCACAAATGTCATCTTAAGAAATTACAGAATCTGTGAATCACATGTAAATATATTTGTTGATTTCACGAAAGGAGTAAATTTATCAATTTGAAATAAAAGACTATAATGATTCAATGCGAATTATCTTTTATCAAATACAATAATTCTGTAAGAAAAATGAAATACCACAATAAAACCTAATTTTATGTTGTATCAGTACCTTTCGAATATACATATTGTAACAAAATGATTGTGTATATTGCTACCTCCATCGCACTTCCGGATTTAAGCATGGATTGTGTATATTGCTCTTACCATTGCACTTCCGGATTTAAGAGTGAATTGTGTATATTGCTCTTACCATTGCACTTCCGGATTTAAGCGTGGATTGTGTATATTGCTCTTACCATTGCACTTCCGGATTTAAGCGTGGATTGTGTATATTGCTCTTACGATTGCACTTCCGGATTTAAGCGTGGATTGTGTATATTGCTCTTACCATTGCACTTCCGGATTTAAGCTTGGATTGTGTATGTTGCTTCTACCTTTGCACTTACGGATTAAAACTTCTAAACATATCCATTTCATCCTCGTATGCTGCTATTCGTGACGCTGTGTCGCTGAGAGAAATCGTGATGTTATGATTAAACGTTGAACTATCTGATATAGTTGCATTAGCAGGAAAAGTCAAATCTATACTACATTGATGTCTTGGATTCGATGGAAGCCAAGGCTCGCTTGGTGCAGACGTGAAGAGGTTTTGTCCCAGAGATATCCAGAACACAAATATCATTGAGATTACCCCACCTGTAAGGACGCCCTGTAACACACCAGATACTTAAAAAAACGAAATGAAATGAAATAAAACAAAAACAGCTACATTTCTCTACACAGTCCCAAAAACAAAACATCTCAAGCTGGTCTCCTAATGTTCTTATGTTTGAAAGGAAATAAGGCATTAGCCAAAAGAAACGTAAAAATCATGACCGTACCGCGATTACTTTTTAAACAATAAATGAATTATCATACTTACCTTTTTTGTGGACCAAGGGCAAAATATGGAAAATAGAAACATGCCAGAAAGCGGTCCTCCGAAACAAGTCAGTACTGAAGAAGCTATCTGGAAAATAGTGTTCATTTTCGTATAGTACCGAATACGGATTCTGCATGATCGTGGAAACGACAAATAACATATTTTCGAGGGGCTTCAATTTCGTGGTTTTCGAAAATAATTGTTTTCGTTAGTGCATCATTTCGTAGTTAAATCTATCTTTAGAGATCTGCTAGTACTATAATCTAATTTTTATCAGTTCATTATTTCGTGAACATATTAATTTATGGAGTTAGACAAAAATGTCCCCACGGATATCAATGATTTTATATTATATAATAATACTAACAAGAAATGTGTTGCAGTAAGTCATCGAGAGACTTTGGTGAGTCACTCATGTCGACAGAGCGTAAAATACTCTTGTGTAATCGCATAACGTTACACTGTGTGCCACGTGTGCACATGTTTGCGCACGTGTGCGATTCTATCATGGTTGATATAAATTTAGATATTACTTAAGAAGAAGTGTGAGATGGGGTTTATTTGTGCTGTAAATACATAAGACTACAGGTAGGTAAGTATCAATCCATATGTCTCTAGGATAGACGCCTATAGATCAGGTACAGATTGGGTGATTATTTACACTCGTAATTAAGAGTGTTTTGTTTTGATACGTGACCACTCTTGGCATACAGACATTAAATCTACATGATATAGGTACACTGACAAGCTGAAAAACGGGTCCTGTTGTACTCTTTTATCTGTGATTTTAGCCAAGACGAAGAACTAGCCAACATGTCTTTTTCTGGGGGACCGCGTTTCAGATATAACCCTTGCTATAGATGCAGCAGTGCACTCAGTAAACAAAAACCGGTGAATAAGGCAACAGCTCAGAAAGTATCGTCTTGTTCTTGTTCCCATTCACTACTATATTAATTCATTACCTGATTTAAAGATCCAGAGACGGTGGCAATTAACGCAGTGATCATGATAGATACTCCCCCGTAGAACAGAACTGAAACACACCAAAATACATTAAACATCAGATATATCGTTCAAAAGCCTGGCAATATTTAATTCATGGCAGCAATATTATTAACAATACGAAATAATTTGTAATGATGAAATCATATCCTCCTACATAGTGCTATTAGATCCATCGATCTGTCATGATGGGGAGGGGGGATATGAATAAAACAATGTAAACAGGGACTACTATTTACAGTATAATGAAATAAGATGGTAACGTGATGATGCTTGGAGTGGTCGTACACTTCAAACAAACAAAAAATAGTTTAAAAAAAGAAGGAGAATGTTCTTTGATCTGCAAACTTAGAGACACAATATCCGGATGTTAAAGGGTGTTAAAAAACGAACAGCCCTCTTAAAAGATATTAATCGTACCTGAGATTTTGGCAATGGCTGTGGCTTTTCTATCAGACAGGTCCTGGTACCGAGGTTTAATAAAATCTTGAACTGTTTGAGCACTAAGACAACTCAATCCAGATGAAATTGTGCTAAAAACAGGATAATATTTGAAACTTTCGTTAAGGAAATTAAATTTATTTCGTCATAATAAAGGTATTGTGGATTAAGATTTATATATCACAGCACGTATCTAATTCGCTAATATTGAATCCTTCAAAAAATTAATTATAATATGCCAACTTTAGATATGCTCTTCAAAATCATTGTGAAAAAACATTGTTTGTTATGCTATGTCTAACATGTATGACATTACACATTACAAAGTATGTTTCATTAATGGAGATAATCAGTCTCTAATAAAGGTTGGAAATGATATGAACTTATTGTTATAAAATATTTTCAATTAAAAACGCATCCCAAGCAGTCTTGCTCTGTTTGTTCTTCAAAGTATTCTTTGCGTCACATTCATCATATTAAACAACCTACCTCAAGGAGGCACTAAACAAAGAAGCAAGGAAAAGTCCCGAGAGTCCCGAAAGGCCGTGAAATATCCTCACCACCATATATGGTAACAACTGAGGTAAAAATTATTTAAATATCTTATTCCAATTGTTAGATGACTACTTTCTTAAATATGATATAAGAACGTCAATCTATTTTATAGTTTCTGTATTGCCATAATCAAGAAGCTGGATTGTAAAAGATGTCTACCTGGTTAGCATTCTTAATCCGGCCCGACGTGAGAGGATCGCAGCCGACAACATTGAAGTAAGCAAACATCACTAGACTTTCGAAATTCACTAAAAGTGCAATAGCAAAAAAGGCTGGAGCAGCAAACCACATAATTCTGAAAACAAAGCAAAATGATAAGATAAATAAATTATAGATTAATGAATAAATGCATCTATGATTTCATTCAATTAACTGATTGTATCACAAGAACAACATTAATCATGGACAATGAAATGTAACAGCAAATGTTTTACAATGACTAGGAAAATGTATTTAATTATGTTGTAACGTCTATCAGGTTTTTTTCTGCTATAGTGGTCTTACATCTTCTAATGTTCTCGTGCTGGACTTTACGTTCTTTATAATTAACCTTCTGTTCTGTGCTGGACGGTAGGACAGGGAAATCTCTATTCGAGGGGCGGGTTCACGACTGTCTAACCAGAGGCTTTACCGAAGGGATGATTCACATCTGTCTAATCACTGGCTTTACTGAGGAGGATATTTACGACTGTCTAACCAGGGACTTTACCGAGGAGGAGATTCACGACTGTCTAACCATAGGCTTTCCCGAGGAGGAGATTCACGACTGTCTAACCAGGGACTTTACCGAGGAGGAGATTCACGGCTGTCTAACCCGAGGCTTTGCCGAGGAAGAGATTCACGACTGTATAACCATAGGCTTTACCGTTTAGGAGATTCACGACTGCCTAACCAGGGACTTTACCGAGGAGGAGATTCACGACTGTCTAACCAGGAACTTTACTGAGGAGGAGATTCACGACTGTCTAACCAGGGACTTTACCGAGGAAGAGATTCACGACTGTATAACCATAGGCTTTACCGTTTAGGAGATTCCTGTCTAACCAGGGACTATGTCGAGGAGGAGATTCACGACTGTCTAACCAGGGACTTTACCGAGGAGGAGATTCACGACTGTCTAACCAGGGACTTTACCGAGGAGGAGATTCACGGCTGTCTAACCCGAGGCTTTGCCGAGGAAGAGATTCACGACTGTATAACCATAGGCTTTACCGTTTAGGAGATTCACGACTGCCTAACCAGGGACTTTACCGAGGAGGAGATTCACGGCTGTCTAACCCGAGGCTTTGCCGAGGAAGATATTCACGACTGTCTAACAAGTGGTTTTACCGAGGAAGAGATTCACTACTATCTAACTCGAGACTTTGCCGAGGAAGAGATTCACGACTGTCTAACCAGGGACTTTACCGAGGAGGAGATTCACGGCTGTCTAACCAGGGACTATGTCGAGGAGGAGATTCACGACTGTCTAACCAGGGACTTTACCGAGGAGGAGATTCACGACTGTCTAACCAGGAACTTTACCGAGGAGGAGATTCACGACTGTCTAACCAGGGACTTTACCGAGGAGGAGATTCACGACTGTCTAACCAGGGACTTTACCGAGGAGGAGATTCACGACTGTCTAACCAGGGACTTTACCGAGGAGGAGATTCACGACTGTCTAACCAGGGACTTTACCGAGGAGGAGATTCACGACTGTCTAACCAGGGACTTTACCGAGGAGGAGATTCACGACTGTCTAACCAGGGACTTTACCGAGGAGGAGATTCACGACTGTCTAACCAGGGACTTTACCGAGGAGGAGATTTACGACTGTCTAACCAGGGACTTTACCGAGGAGGAGATTCACGACTGTCTAACCAGGGACTTTACCGAGGAGGAGATTCACGACTGTCTAACCAGGGACTTTACCGAGGAGGAGATTCACGACTGTCTAACCAGGGACTTTACCGAGGAGGAGATTCACGACTGTCTAACCAGGGACTTTACCGAGGAGGAGATTCACGACTGTCTAACCAGGGACTTTACCGAGGAGGAGATTCACGACTGTCTAACCAGGGACTTTACCGAGGAGGAGATTCACGACTGTCTAACCAGGGCTTTGCCGAGGAAGATTCACGACTGTCTAACCAGTGGACTTTACCGAGGAGGAGATTCACGACTGTCTAACCAGTGACTTTACCGCGGAGGAGATTCACGACTGTCTAACCAGGGACTTTACCGAGGAGGAGATTCACGACTGTCTACCAGGAACTAGGAGGAGATTCACGACTGTCTAACCAGGAACTTTACTGAGGAGGAGATTCACGACTGTCTAACCAGGTACTTTACCGAGGAGGAGATTCACGACTGTCTAACCAGGAACTTTACCGAGGAGATTCACGACTGTCTAACCAGGAACTTTACTGAGGAGGAGATTCACGACTGTCTAACCAGGGACTTTACCGAGGAGGAGATTCACGACTGTCTAACCAGGGACTTTACCGAGGAGGAGATTCACGACTGTCTAACCAGGGACTTTACCGAGGAGGAGATTCACGACTGTCTAACCAGGGACTTTACCGAGGAGGAGATTCACGACTGTCTAACCAGGGACTTTACCGAGGAGGAGATTCACGACTGTCTAACCAGGGACTTTACCGAGGAGGAGATTCACGACTGTCTAACCAGGGACTTTACCGAGGAGGAGATTCACGACTGTCTAACCAGGGACTTTACCGAGGAGGAGATTCACGACTGTCTAACCAGGGACTTTACCGAGGAGGAGATTCACGACTGTCTAACCAGGAACTATACCGAGGAGGAGATTCACGACTGTCTAACCAGGTACTTTACCGAGGAGGAGATTCACGACTGTCTAACCAGGAACTTTACCGAGGAGGAGATTCACGACTGTCTAACCAGGGACTTTACCGAGGAGGAGATTCACGACTGTCTAACCAGGGACTTTACCGAGGAGGAGATTCACGACTGTCTAACCAGGGACTATGTCGAGGAGGAGATTCACGACTGTCTAACCAGGGACTTTACCGAGGAGGAGATTCACGACTGTCTAACCAGGGACTTTACCGAGGAGGAGATTCACGTTACCGAGGAGGAGATTCACGACTGTCTAACCAGGGACTTTACCGAGGAGGAGATTCACGACTGTCTAACCAGGAACTATACCGAGGAGGAGATTCACGACTGTCTAACCAGGAACTTTACCGAGGAGGAGATTCACGACTGTCTAACCAGGGACTTTACCGAGGAGGAGATTCATTAACGACTGTCTAACAAGTGGACTTTACCGAGGAGGAGATTCACGACTGTCTAACCAGGGACTTTACCGAGGAGGAGATTCACGACTGTCTAACCAGGGACTTTACCGAGGAGGAGATTCACGACTGTCTAACCTTTAGCTTTACCGAGGTTTAGACGGTCAGGAATCTCTTCCATTGGTCATGCTTTCTCTGCCTACCCTCAAACTAGGGAATGATCCCTTTTCTACCCCTATCTTCAGCATGCTTGTTATATATGAATTATTAGATAATTTAAATATATGCTGTCAAATACGAAAATAATAGAGTTTTATTTTTATTTTGATCGGTTTGTAATCTACGTTATACACTGTACAGACAATCGTGTTGATAACTCATTGACATAAATACTGACTTACAGTGATACTAAACTTATTAAAAACTATCCATATTTATTAGTCATGTATATCACAGCTCAAATTTACAACTTCCATTTTAGCTCGTGTTTATATTCTGTACCTGCAGACTGTCTTATCCCGGCGAGTTAGAGCTATCTTACCCTGTGTGGAAGTGTGGATATCTCTGTCCGATGGAGTAGAAATATTAATGTTTCTGTTTGCAATATGACTAATACTTGAAGTATTTTACCAGCGTAATTGTTTCATTTTATCGGTACTTGTGTTTAAATACGACCGAAATAGTCAGGCACCATATTATTTTTGAGGCCTCAAAACGAGTTTGCTCTCAATGGTTGCACAGAAGAACTGATATATAGATCTGCTGATAAAGATTACAAAATATCATGCGACATGACCAAGGTATAGGGAGGGAATCATTTGATAGGCAAAAAAGTGTTAAAACATTTCCTAGCACTATTATTGCCTGCAACTCTTGAGGATAGTATAAAGCCAGCAAAATATCAACGCAGAATATATAACTTGAATATAAAATCCTCTCGTGTTCGGAAAAGAAATATTTGCTTCAAACATTCGGTAAACTATCAACGGTTTGATCCGTCGAGGAGGCCAAACCTAATACAACCTCTGTAACGAAGCCGTACAAACAACATTATTCTCACATCTTACTTCTTGAATTGACATACGTGAACATAACATTTTCACCTCTTGCCTTCTCGTTATGTTTTACAGAACTAATCCTTTAGATACATGCTTACCTCTTGCCTTCTTGTAATGTTTTGACGGAACTAATTCTTTGAACTGTTGCTTGATTAAACAACATGCCAAGCGAGCTAATGTAAGATCCAAAAAATAGTGACCAGAACGTCTGCCGAACCGTCGGATCAGGATCAAAGCTGGAATTAAGACCTTATTATTTCAAGACATTGTTATGTACTTTATTAATTTTTTTTATTTTAAAACTAAATGAAATATATATTTCAGAAACTGTTTTCAATTCGATGATTCATGTTGTTAGGATGCTGTGTCTATAGCTTTAACACTATACACAAAGTCCTAAGCTTCGACCTAAATGTTCGAAACAGTCCGCACGTACCCAGTAAATCATGTGACGGTCACGTGAGACTACAGTAACACCTGGTCGCTAATTTTTGCCTGAGCACCACACTATCGATATTTTACGGCAAAATATACTTGATATAAAAATAGGCGTTCCTTAGGACGGATGAAAGGTGTCTATTCTTCTGATTTGTTATGTTAATATTTCTGCGTAAATATGACGTAGTGATGTTAACTATGTCGACATTACAAAACGTTTCCAATAGAAGAGAGAAAAAAAGATTTTTTTATAGAATGTGAATACTTTTCATCGTTTTTAATCCATTCAAACTCCGTTAATATGTATTTTGTTTTGATAAAGGACATGGGGTGCTCTGGAAAAGATTATACTAAAAGTGCAAATGGTTTTGAAAATGAATTGTTTTAAATATATCAGAATACTAATAAAAATATTGTCTGTATCAATGTCATGACAGGCAACCAGGCTGTAAACAACGCCGATAATCTAATGAGAGACTAATTGAGAACATTAACCCATATACGTTACTTTTAGATTCGTGAACGATAAAACGATGAACATGATTAAGTAGCCATTTTAAATTGACTTTGTTGAGCTCAGTAGAGTTGGATCCTTCGATTTGCAAACCTGTCTTAGGAAAACCCTTTATCTATGTTATGTTTACTTTTGTCAGGAGGAGTTTTTTTCTGTGAGTACGAATGCACGTGTCTTAAAGTGACGTGTACTAATATCACGCATTACATGTTCTTGCTGATTCTCACTTGAAATAATTGAGTCTGAGATTTTCGTAATTGATCTGGAAGACTTTCCCGACGTTTCCAACATCCATGGTACCCTTTTAAAGAGGAAAGATACATTTTTATTAATGAAATATGTAGTAACCTTAACAATAACATATCTTGTTATTACAGTAGCAGCGAAAATGCATTCAATATATTAGTACTCGATATATGAATAATATAAGCGATCAACTATTCATGATAAACATTAAATATTTCGCCATATTTATCACTTTATGACGTAATTGATTGATTATTTTTCCCTTCTTTATTTACATACCTGTTTACTAAATTTCTTAAATTTAACAAGATATCACAGCTTATGCCATTAAAGGTTTGATATGGAATTTAACATACATAAAAGGGTAAACTTACTTTTATGATAACAGCAATCATACCTAAGATCATAATGAGGCATTGTAATACGTCTGTCCATACGACCGCCTTTAGTCCTCCCTGTACAGAGTTTACATCATAACAATCGTAATATATCCGCCAAAATGGCTTCGTTGACAATAACATTGCTGTGTGTTTGCGAACATGACCCTTTAGTCCCCCTCTGACAATACATAATGAGACATTGCAATACATCTGTCAAAACGACCGACTTGAATGCGCCTTGTACAAATAGATACGACAATGTAGTGCATCTGTCCACACCACTATTCTATTCCATCCTGAACAGACATAGAATAAAAAATGTTACACATCTTTTCAAACGAACGATTAGTTGGAATAAGCCGGGTGCAGATATATGAATATCAGACATTGCAATCGACTGCTTTGAGGCCGTCCTGTACAGCTACTCACAATTTGATAGGGATCACTTTTTTATTAAATGTGTAACGGTATCTATTTTATGAATATATTCTACAGTTGAATTTATACATATTTCGGCATTATAAGATGAAGATTTAACAACACCAAGCGAAGAATAACAGTATAAATTTGCTTCAATACTCATTGTACACAGATACCCCGAAAATCGCAAATTACGACAAAAGGGGCGAACAATTAAGTCCTAAGAAACAGTGCCGTTCAGCGAAAAATACAGTGTTAGTATCGAGTATAACGTCCTTGAGCATCAATTACGCTCTGGCAGCGGCGGCGCATGTTTCTGATCAAGTCTCGTATCCGGTTTTGGGGAATACTTGTCCATTCAGCGACGAGAGCTGCTTGAAGTTCCTGAAGCGTTCTAGGTTGGATGTTTCTCGCCGAAACAGCGTTCTGAAGCATGTCCAACATGTGTTCTATAGGATTGAGATCTGGAGATCGGGCTGGCCAGTTTTATCCTTTCAACTGTTTCCCTTTACAGATATTGTTCAGTCGCACGAGCTCTGTGTGGTCACGCATTATCGTCCATAAGAATGAATTCCGGACCTATAGCACCAGCATAAAGCCTGACGTACACGTCCAGGACTTCGTCACAGTACCTCTGTGCAGTCAAACTGCCATTAAGGAACACATGAAGATCGGTCTTGCCTTGCATGCTAATGCCACCCCAAACCATAACAGATCCATCACCGTATCGGTCATGCTGGGAAACGTTAGCGGCATGGAACCTCTCATTTGGTAGTCGACACACCCTGGCATGTCGGTCAGTGAAATCTAAGCGAAATCTAGACTCGTCTGTAAAAAGTACGCGGGGACCAGTCATGTGGGTTCCAATTCACATGATCACGAACCCAAGCAAGTCTAGCTTGAACATGTCGTAACGTCAAAGGAATTCTCACAGCAGGTCTGCGCGACCTTAAACCAGCATCATGAAGTCTATTTCTCACAGTTTGTGTGGAGATACGAGTTCCGGTGGCATTCTGGAAGTCATTACGTAGTGACGTAGCGTTGATGAACCTTTGACGTCGAACTGCAATAACAAGATAGCGGTCTTGACGCTGCGAGGTAAGTCGTTCCCGACCCCCACCATGTCTTCTGGAGACAGTTCCATAATTTTGGTAACGATTCCACATACGGGACACAACACTCTGGGACACAACAAGGTCATTGGCCACTCCCTTTTTGACCTACCAGACTGGATCATACCAATGTCCCTGTCCATATCTGAAGTGCTTAGACGTCTTCTAGCCTGCTGTCGGGGCATTTTGAAACCATTGAAATTCAAAATGTAAAGCGAAAAGCGAGATATTCTGCCAGAAACGTATTGATGACAATCTGCACGTAGGAGGCTCGTGCGTGTACACGTGAAGTGTAAGCGTTACGGGTGACTGACCACATAAATACCCGATACACATAGACCTCGGTACAGATATAAACCAACAAATATAAGGAATACGTATTATTTTATTTTAAAAGAAAATCCCTATCAAATTGTGAGTAGTATATATTAGATATACATATATATGGACATGACCACATTCAGTTTGTCTTGAGATACACATGTATACAAATCATTTAGACATTAAGCTATATGTCTATAAACGACCATTTATAGTCTATACCTTTGTGAAATATACTGTGATTTAAAGATGTAAATCAAAACATGATTCTTAGATATATCACAAGACAAGAGACATAGATCAGATCTTCTTAATCAACCATGACAAACAATATAAAATGGCGCTAAGTGAAACACAAGGAATAGACGATCCTACGTGTTCTGCTAAATGTCTATAAAATAATTAAAACAATTAACAGTATTTGTCAGGAGATTGAACCCAGGGCCTCAACCTGTCTGCCGTCCTGATTCTGGGGCATAAGATAAAAACAAAGAGCAAAACAGTTATGATGATCTGATGTTATACTTACGATTGACGTGTAGATAATTGATGCTCCCGCTACAGAAAATACGGAAGCCCAGAACGGGAAGTCCGTCACTAGATGTTGAAATATAAAATCAGGCAACTGTGTCGACTCTAATGAATGTTGTTATATATGCTTTGGTTATGTATATACGGTAAACACTTAAACATATAATACATTACCTATCCTGCAATCATACCGTGAAACTCATTGTGGCATTAACATATATACGTCAATAACTTCACTAGAACCTTAAGCTGAAGAACCACACTCTTCTCCAAACCACCAACCCCACCCCAATCTCCTCCCTCTGGCATGATGGACGGACGCATACCTCTATGAACACTGTTAGCTCTTTCTTTTTTTCGTATCGAAAGTGGAATATATTCTGCTCAATATGTACCATTATAATTGATGAAAGATAGATAGTATTACACATCAATATTGATGATTTAGAATCCATTTAGTGAAAGATAATTATTTTAAATATGAGTTTTGATTCAAACCTTTCTTTCGATATTTAAGTATTTCATATTATCATCATAATTGCATTCATACTCGTAAATATTTTCAATGCTTTCAGGTGATTTTCAAAATCGAGCGAAAAATGAAATGATTACATGTTAAAGGTATAACAATGATAGGAAAAATTAGTTGTTATTTTCATTATCTTTCTTTTTCCTTCCATCTTTTGTAAATTCTCACCTGCTGCTAGTACTAAGGCCGGTCCATACAGAACGATACCAATGTAAAATAACTATAACAAAAAGAATGGCCGATCAAAGTATCACAAAATCCGTTTGTAAAAAGACAAAATTATTGGTAAGCAGCATTGGATACACTTGCCACGCTAATTAGATAGATAGATAATTAGATAGATATTAAACAGATAAATACTTTAACAGATTAATTGAGATCAGTTATGCAATATTTTTTCTAAATAGATGTCATTCAGAATATGTACTTCGAATTTGTCTTATGAATAGTGTATGATTATTATTGTTTGCTATGTTTAAAAATGGTAACATTTCATTTGTGTAAATATGACTACGGGTAATAACAAAAATTTTTAACCGATTGTTCCTAGAAGAGTTATAACAGACAGTAATCACAACACTAGTATATACCTACATAATGAAAGATTCCTATTACTGTTGCCAAAGACCGGGGTGCTTTGCTGTTGTATCGGAGCTCGAAATACTGTAAAAGTCAAAATATAAACCATGGTTCATTATAAAATCTAATAAACACAAAAGATAAATACTATCTATCGCAACATAAGCTTTAAGGTTATGTCACTCACCCTTATTGGTCCGGAATATCGAACCCCGAACCTCTGAGTGAAAAACTTGAGTGTTGTCAGTACACCATTCGTCCATCGACATTCTACTATCAACTACTTATTTAATGATAATATATATTTTGTACTCCGAAAAAATCGGTAATACAATGCAATGTTTTTTATGATATTTTTTTCTTAAGAATTCAAATGAAGTGGAATACCTCGAACACGCTTGTTAGTTTGAGCGGATGAAATAAGGGCACAACCACTCGTATTGCTGTCAGGGTCGTAAACATAAAAGCAACACTTGTCCAGAGAAGTTGATCGCCGTAGATATAGATTTCGGCTGGGTAGCCAAGAACAAGAATGGAAGACTCAAACGAAACAACAAACGAGATTGCAACCGGCAACATCTTCAGTCGTCGATTCCCAACCAGATATTCCAAAGTTGTCTTCTGTCCTCCACCGGAACAAGCCGAATACACACCTAGTAGAAATCATTAGCATACTGCCTTCCGACTAGCCTAGCATACTTACAGCAGATGCGATGATATTTATAGAGACATGGTAAGAACGACTTATTAAATAGTGTTACAGCTGGTTAAAATGTTAAATAAGAGTTAATGTGGATTTGACACTCAATTAACAATGGTTAAGCATATCAACATGGATTAATGATTTCGTATGAGATTGAATATTCCATGTAAAAGGTCAATGACCCTCCCGTTGTACTATGGTTGAGATAATGCCACATTATGGTAGTTCATTTTTCCGGTATCCATACAGATTCAAAGCATACCTGATTTATTGGAATTGAATCTCAATTTATTAATATAATAAATTCCATTTGAAATGATCACTTAGAATAAGTTGTCATTAAAGAGTTTCGACTTCCAAATCAGTTTCATGGCCTTAAAGACTCATATACAGTGCACTTCATGTTCCCCAATAACATTTAAGTGCAAATGGGTCGTTTATGAACGTTAAAAAAACAGAAGATCAAAATGTGACGATAATTTTTTCATGTTTTTTTTCGCGATGTTTTGTTAAAATTTCTCAAGTCTGGAAAAAGAACATCAAGAGAATACCAACATGGCAACATAATCTTAATCCAAAGTCAAATTCCATAAAACTAGGGCATAATATGAAAAAAGACAAAGATTTACACGGAGACTCCTGAAAAGGTACAAGGAGAATAAGACCAGGTGTTCCGGAAGAGAGCGCGATAAATTAAGCAACGGTGTATAATCATGTTAACCATTCAATGCATTTCTGAAATAACTCGGTTTTAGAAAGTTTCCCTAACAAAAGACATGTTAATAATGTTTCAACAATTAGAACGTGGTTAGAGTAAGGGTAAGATGACATACCTATCCCAATTGAGAGAGTGATCATCCCAGCAAAAACAACATAGTCAGCTACGTGAAAACCGAAATCCGATGCTGCAACAGAGGCGACATACCTATTTTAAAATGACATCTAAGTGTCGAAATAATCTGAGGATTATCTACATGATAAAGGTTAAATACTTATATACCTATAAATTATGCATTAACATGTCTATATACTACTTACACCTTGCTAATGAAACTTATTACGTAATTACAATCAGTCAGAAAATGAGGGTCATCTAAGAATCAGTAATCTCAAAAAAAAAAAGTTAAATTGGTCCAAATTAATACTAAACCAGCAATCACTCCAGCACAATATCTGACATGCCCCAAATGAGATCGCGTATCTGATTTTTGATTGATAGCTTTCAACTCAATCGGCTACATGTACCAAGGCTGTTCCCAGCTAATGGAATGTCTATGGCTACAATTTTTTTGTAAAGAGAGCGGTCTGCGGCATGTCTTACACATGCTCGATTGAATTTAAATCCCCTTCTGGAATACTGGAAAACAACGTTAATACCTCCCCTTACGATTTTTGAACACCCGGTATATCGGCCAATTCAATAATATTACATGCATGAAACCCCTCGCTAACCCCCAGCGAATTAGAGACAGACTTTGAACTCGTCGGAGGAATATTTCTTTTTCATAAAGAGTCCATGTACAGTGGGTTTAACAGAAAACATATCGGTCAGACAAGGGAACTTGTACAGCTGTTTTACCAGCATTACAAAGACACGTGCTAATTCTATGAGTGGTTACCCTGATACTAAGGGCATTTCGGAGGTTGACGCAATGTCTGTAAAAGCACGAATTGATCTTTAGGTCCCAAACCACCTCAAATTCCCTTAATTTTTTCACCGTTATCAAACCGTTGTCTGGTCTCTTTGTGTCATACTAACTCCTGAACTCTCAGGATTGAAAATAAAGCAAACGTTAAAATTGGTTTATGTCTGCCTAAAGATCACTGAAAACACAACAGGAAAATACCAACATGTCAACATAATCATAATCAAAACTCAATTCTACGGTAAAATCATCGACAACATTCGCTATGTGAATCTTGATCAATCCAGGTAAGTTCTGTCCCGTTTTAAAATAAAAACAAGGTATACAACAACGCAAGCAACATGCAAACTAACAAGCATCAAACATGTCCAATTTCATGTCACACAAAGAAATAGAATATTTCTCAATGAGATTACTATGCTGACAGTAAAACTTCAGAGTTCCCCATAATTTTCATCAACTTGCATGTTTTGAACCCCTTTATTATAATTTTTTTCACCAGTTGACGACTTCATGAACGAAAATCGTGATAGTTAAAACTAACCCTTGAATATCAGATCAACTGCGACACCATAGGTCGGGAATGCAGGAGGGTTGTTATCCAGATATGAAGAAAAATTTACATTAAAGAAAATCATAACACTTATCATACAGCTTGGTGGAAAGCTGTCCATTCTTGTTCCATTGTAGGAAAAGATCGAGAAGAGATGCTAATATAGAAGAGTCTTTAGTGTCTTTAATTTCTAATTTTGATAGGTATTTACGATGAATAGTTCAATACATTTCTTATTAATTAAAGACAAGATCTCCCGTTTCTTTAAGCTTTTTGATGAATTCAGTTTCGTATGAAAACAAACACAAGTCAGCGAACAGATCTGCAGGGGCACAGTTATAATTCCATAGGTATACCAAAGTATGTTGAAAGATAAGGGGTTAATTAAGATTCACTTCTTTAGAAAACCATATGAGAAAAAGACTGTAAGGTAGATAAGATAGATCTAAGAATGATAGTTTGTAGTTTTGATATATTTTGGGTTAAATAACAAGGGAAACCAGCCGTAAAACGTTGCCTATATAATGTTGTTGTGAAGTTTAAGAATCCAATGTAAAAGGTCGGAGGTCTGTATCCTGATAATTAATAGATAATCAAAATCATTGTAATATTCTTTGCGGACAAGAAGTTTTTGGACGCCTTATCTGAAGGCACATTAAGACACCACATGGCAAGTAAATATTGTGGATTTAGCGTTACTATTGAAGAAAGCAGACAGGTCATTTTATATATCAAGCTGCAAATAGTGTAAGATTATGGACCAAACACACTCAGAAACTGAATCCAATACACCATGTTCTCGTTTTGACCATTCTCTTGCATAATTTACAACGGAATCCATAAATATTTTGAAATTTATATTCCAATTAACGGACAGTGTTTCGCAATATTTAGGACCCTTAATAAAAAAACTCTTAGATTAATATCTTGATCGATTCTTAAATCACCAGTCACAATGAGGCCTGTTGAACCGTAGGTACAAGTAGAACAAGAACAAGCTGACGGAGGAACAACTCTTAGGTCATCTACATTCAGGTGTTGTAGCGTTTGATTGTAATGGAAAGGTTTGGATGCAATGGACCTGGGGTAACTGTAAGACATTACAAAAGTATTTCTGCTTTGAAAGAATGGATTTCTGTTGTAAAATATTGCTGACCTTAATAGCACACACTCCCTTATTTACAAATTCAAATTAAATACATTGGCGATTTGTTGGAGGTTCAATTACTTCTAAAGTAACTAAAACACCTTTCTCATTAATGTTTCTGGACAACAAAAACATTTATACAAAGCGAAATGCATCCCAGAAAAGATAATAATAAGACTCTTCTTTTAGTCTTCGTAATATCATCTACAAAACAAACTATGTATATGCGAAAAAAACAAGAAAATGACAACATGTCAAAACAATCAGCGTTCAAAATGCAACTTACCCATGCTGAATCTTGTTTGATTTAAGATGATTCGGCAACATATATTTATTATTGAGGAAAAGACGGCCCTGATGTTATGTATATCATTAGGATTCATGGACATGAAATCAATTGTGCATTTATCAGAATCTGTATGATGTACATATTCATAGCATGTTCGCGTACATCTCAGGGGTAATCTCGCATAATGTGTAACACAGCAACTCAGTCGGGTTACATAAAGTAAAGGCGATGAAAGCCTAACCTAAATTCAGTTGTTTTATCAAGTCTAGGCATCAGTATTCTTCACAACAAGTATGGAATGTGAGAGAGAGCGGGTGAGGCACCGATAGTCAATACTCTGTTGTTGGACTCTCTATCCACTATCTATACTCCCCCCCTATCCCCGCCCCCGCCCCCTCTCTTAACTCTCTCTCCCAGGTCGATTTTATATTACCAGGTTTAATAAGCAATGGTCAAGTGATTAATTTTAGTGGACCATCTGGCAGTTTCATAAGCTATGGTCAAGAATTTTCCAAGTAGTGAAGTCACTGACCGAAGAAGTCTCCTCAGCAGTCATTTGAAATGCAGTAGGGAACAATGGCGTAGCATGTTCCGGTGCCGCCACCTTTCTTGTGTTGACGGTGGGTGAGCTCGGAATGACAGGTGGATCCGTGTGTTGTGTTGTGTGTCCATTGTTCAAGATCTCGTAACTAGGTGCAGTACTTCCGTCTCTTTTACCATACCTTAACATGGCTAACCAGTGCTTCCCCTCTTTACACGCTTACAGTAAATATAAATGAAAAGTGCAGCCCCAATACAGACTATTAGAGACAAGCTTATTAATACCGTTTTCCAACGAGGAAACGAGGAATCACGCCGTACAGACGGTAAATTATGTACCGTCTTAATCAAATTATTCATGGATGTTTGACTAACTCTTTAAGCTTGTCTGTTAATCGAGCATGGGCAATACAACACGGAGATGTGTCCATAATTGCACGCGTGGTATTTTCGCGAAGGTTTTTTTTTTTTTATAAAATCAATAGATGTTACCTGGTTATCTCTACTTTTACATACGACCGTAAAACGGAGTACTTTCTGCGTGGCTACAAGTAAAACACCTTAACTCAAATATTCTACTTTCAGTAGAACCGTATTCGGAGTGACAATACTTCGGCAATTTCGCTTCATTTTCTCTCGGATTTCGTAAGCAGTGATATTAAACATAACATAGCGGGAAATACTTGTCCTTTGAGATATATACAGAGTTACTGTTCTTGGCGAGTGAACAGTTTCTTGTGCATGCAAGCCCGAGTTTGTTGAGTTTTCCGTCCGTTGTTCGCTATCGCTGAAAAATTAACTCTATTACTTTCGGCGAATTATAGTTGAAGTATTCATAAAAATGTACAATTAATTTCTAATTTAAAAGCAAACGTCAAAAAAGGTTATCGTGAAGTCAGGAGATAGTCCGTGACTGTATACCGAGATTACGCCTTGCAGGGGTTCCCCTGGTTTCGCGTTATAACTTTTCTTTTTCTCAGCCAATCGCATATTACTTTTAAAATGACGTAGGACAATTATCCATCATCTTAGTATACCAACCAATGAAATCGCTTTAATGAAACAAATGTCGTCATTTCGATCTAATTGAGAGTCGGGAAATTCCAACATAGGGAATTTCTTACCCCGGTATTTGTCACGACAAAGCCAGAGCTTCGCATGCTAAAATAAGAGCGCATATGAGTTTTGAATAATTTCTTGATATGAAAACAGTACACTTACTTCACAATAAACGAGAAAGAACTTACGAATAACTTGAAACTGTGTCTCCGTCCGGGCGACGAATCCGGGAGTGTTAATATTTCACGATATGCTTAATCAAATTGGTTAGATATATCGGACTTTTAATATTAAAGTATTCCATATATTGATTGGTACAATGACTAGCTTCGTCGGAAATGAGCAGTGCTTACTGCGTATATTCTGAATCTATAGCGAACGTACTTGCTTCTAGTTGATATTCGGCTACCAGTTGCATGCCTAAATGTTCTAGATAAAACATAACCCTTTGCATCGTTTGTTTTATTAATTTTGAAATACATCGAACAATAACTGACCCAGAACTCTTCACACTGTTCAGACCTTACTTTGTCGCAAATGTTATTGTTCTTGGGACACCTACTAGGCACTAGGCGTTAGGATACATATGTGGTTCGAAAATTAGTAAAATTGACTGTTTTATTTCATGTTACTGCGTCAGTCCGGTTAAAACAGCTCGTAATTAACGATTGTATGACAGTTTTATACCAAGAGTTGTAGTTCTGACTGAGGCCATTCAATACAACAATAAAATGTTAGTATTCTTCTTTTATCCGGGTAATTTTTTTACAGCGATATTTCTATTGTTTACCGAGATAAAAAAAATTCCAATTTGTAATATTTCTTGTCAACCATATCACCATTCAATCGAATACAGTGTCATTATTTTCCTTCGTGCGACATCCATGTCTGTCGAAATGACTCACCAAACTGTATTTGTGGAGTCTTTATTAAACGAAATATATATATATACATATAACATTTATAATAACATTTACATGTATTATTGCATTGATAAATTCTATTAATAAAATCATTTTGATGAATTCCGTCTCATTATAGCAATACAAGACAACCATTCTGATTATTCTATTGAAATCAATTAACATAGTTTGAAAGAAAAATAGAACCCCGGTTCTCAAACGTCAATAGTTGGTTCTCCTCCTCCTTTTGTGTATATATTAGATATTTTGAGTGCCTTGTCAAAATAATTCGTTGAGTCAAATATGAAGAAATAATACGAATGTCTCAAAAGGGGTAACGTGCTAAAGGAATCAATACATATACAAATTTCTGAAACAGCGCCCCCTACCGAAAGCGAGTCATCAACTTAACATTTCCAAAAATATAAGTGTAGTCCACCAAGACTTTTGAGACTTACTTTACCAGAGTTTCGGCATTGTTGAGCAATGGTTTTGTTGAAGCCAAAAGTGATGGACGACACAAACAAACGACACATTTTGCAAACGAATTTATTTGTTAATATATTACAAAAATCAATATATGCGACACAATGGCATCAACTGTATGCATCAGTCTTGTCATTCTTCAAGATTTTAAAACGGAAGGACAAACCCAAATACAGATATTAGGAAAAAGAAATGCTTACCCAGAATCCTTTACTGCCCTCTTCAATTCTTATGTTTTGTATAATCATATATGTAATGCTGGTTGCTTTTGTATGCATTCATATGCGTGATATATACTAATGTATTTGTATATTAAGTACATATTACCTATTCTAAATCTTTGCGATGTAATTGTTCATTGACATTATCATGGCCATCGTTTGAATTGATCTCCCGTCTAGAACATCTCCACTTCGACGTTCAGATTCTCAGCCAATTCAGATTGTTTCGTATCTTCCAATTGTTCTAGCCAGCGTTTTCTCTGGAATGAGTTAGTTGAAATATAAATATAATTTTGTTGCCATTTTGTTTTGATTATCAGTGTATTTGCATATTTTATAGAAAAAAAACTTACACTTCTTTTTACTATTTATGACATCAAAACATCTGAACAACTGAATAATTTCGTTCTTAAAGAAGTCTACACCAATAATTAATCTAAGACTGATTTAAAGTATTGTGAGTTCAGCAGTTATACATACCAAAGAACAGGATCGTACGTCTTCATGAACTAATTAAATGATATTATACATTATTTTGAAAATACCTTTCCAAAATCTACTCCAAACTCCAGATATTGACGAGCCTTCTTTGGCAGATACGGAAAGACTTGATCACCAAGAGGCAATATGTATCTCACGTCTACCTCCTCTGCCGATGGATGTCCTGAAATCATGTTTCGGTGATGTTTGATTTTATCCTTGACCAACGTCATTATCAACATGATGTTTAATAGGTAATATCCAACTTGTAGAATACGAACTGTCATTGAAAGGCTGCTTAAGCGATGCATTGACAGGAAAATCAGAGACAGAATAATTGCCTGGTCTATTTCATCTGATTAACCCGATGCAATGTGCTGTGTTCTACTTGTAGAGTACAGGTATGCACAAATGTTAACTTCCAACACCAAAAAACCTCTAAAGTCCTATATATCTAGTTGTAAACAGATCACCGTGAAACATACATGTCTTAAACCTCCAGATGTAATTAGTCATCGCTAAAGATATCTGTATAAAACCGTAGTTTAACAGCTATGAATGGTCAATTGATGTTTTCGTAACGGAGGAAGTAGGTCAATGATTTTTTTCCAAACCACTGCGTGCAAATTTGAAAACACGATCCGTAAAATTTGTATGTTGATCGCATTGAACAACCGTGGACATCCAGTGTATATTGACAAGGTTTATTATTGAAGAAGCTGGTGTCTACCTCAATGAACAACTATCGGGAGGCCTGCGGCATGCCTAAGGACACACTTACGTCCGATCAATTTCTCAGCTTACTGAGAAGCACAAACTGTCAAGGGTAGGAAGCATCAGACATCTGAGATATTCATCTACGATTACTGAGGCCGACGTTCTAGTTATGGCAGCAGTACACTCACTATGTACTCAATAAAAACATTCATAGTGGTTATATGTGGTCATGTTGCGAAGGATTTCCGAGTTGGAATTTGCTGGAACGTAAGTAGTTTGTAAACTGTCAATACTGCCAAGTATTGTTGATTTTTAAGCCATGTGCTCAGAAATAAATGTCTTCTAAAAAGGTGTAGTGTTAGGTTTGAATTAGTAGTGTTTTTGTATTTTTAGCATTTTTTTCAGTTGGTAACCATGACAATCACATGTCAGAAATCAGAGGATTTTTATATTTACACAAATATTATCTCTCTTTTATTAAGGAAGTTGTTGTGTAGTTAATAAATATATATACATGTAATGATGCATTTTCTATAACTGCTATACCTGACTATCTCAAACATGACCAATAATTTCAGGAAAAATGCTACCTGCTACCTACGCGTCCGTCACCAACTTTCATGAAGGTTCTGTTTTGCCAAGCATATCATACTCATTATTGTTTTACAATATAGATACAATGGCAGCTGTGACAGGTGTAAAAACGACTGAATTACTGATTTATTGATATTAAAATAAGCATACCAATTTTTGCAGAAGGGACATAACTTTATGATTAATTGTACAAATGAACTAATTAATACCCATGTAAAACCTTATGAGGGTAGTTCTGTGCGAAAGGTCATACTGAAATCATCACACAAAGACAGTTATGCACGGTTGGAATGAGTGGGCGTAACTTGAGTGAATGAGGATTATATCAGTGAAATGTCGTTAAATGTTGTATTGAAAGCGTACGAGGAGTCGTCAGGGAAAGTCTACAATCAAAAACGCATTTTCGAATGAATATAATCAGATCCAAAAGCTAAACGAAGGTGCAAAACCTCAGAATTCAGATTATAATCAGATATAATCAATATATATATATACGGAAATTTCGTGTTAGTTGTTAAGAAAAAAGTAGGAGGGGTTATCGCAAAGTCCTAGTTAACGACGGAAAGAACATCTTATCTCAGTAAATCCCACTAAATTCGTTGAATGTGGTAAAATGATAATTTCGTAGGGCTTAATCAACCATTTCACCAATTTTCGTGTTTCTGAGAACCAATGTTCTGTCGATTTATACGAAATTGCGCAAAAACAACATGCACTGGTTAAGGTTCATAAAGATATTCATGGTGCTATCTTGCGTTTCTTTATTATTAGATTGATATAAAAATACTAATCATAATCACAACCCCAGGACGTACCTGTGATATAGCTTACAAAAGCACCGAGGGCGATAGCCATCACACACCCAATAGTACCAAACCATCGGAACGAGACCGAATACAGCTTGTCCAGGCCTTGCCTTATTACGTGAAACAGAAACAGCAAGAAAACACCAACATGTCAACAGAATTATAATAAAAAGTCCAATTCTATAAATAACAAAAAGACGATACCAACACGTCAACATAATCCAAACTCAAATTCAATACAACTAAAACAATATGGACAAAAGGACGATTTACATGGAGACGCCTGATAACGTACATTGAGAATAAGACCATATGTTCCATAAGAGCAAGCGTCTTCTGAGGAAAACTCATATGGTTGTGAAAGCGAAAAAGTACTAATTCACGTCCCATTAAGAAACAATAAAAGTGTATACATCACAACTTCAGCATAAGACTATCAAAGCATTTATAATGAATCATTTTAGTGTTTGTGACTGCTTCACATACAAACTTAGATTAAAATTAATAGTCACTAGTGAGAATGTTACAAATGTATGCTTTCTCTTATAATGAAATCAGAAAAGTTCATAGCTTTTTGTGAATAAATGATAAAATAAATTTACGGCTCATATGCTGTGAAAACCTCCATTTCCTGGTTGTAAACAGCAATCCTCACAGATAAATTACTGGAAGAAAATATCGTATCGTTGCTATTGGTAGACCAATTTCCAAAGCTTGTAGTGTTTGTGTATAATATTGACTCATCCAGACATTTATCTGTAGGGTTTGGAGGCAGCCAGGGCTGGCTTGGTGCAGACGTGAAGAAGTTTAATCCGAGAGATATCCACAAAACAAACATCATCGATAGTATTCCTCCGATAAGGAATCCCTTTAACAGAGAGAGAATTTACACGTTGATAACTTTACATGATAATAAAATCACATGTTCTATAAATGACGGAATTTGTACATGGTAAGATATAACTAAAACAAAGAAATAGCTCTCAATAGAATTGTGTAGTTGTTGAAAGACTTGTACAGAAATAGTTCTTCATGTACACAATGTCGTAAAAGGAATTTATAATGGCAAGAATGATCCTTATTAAAGCAGAATTTCGTCTCTTCAATATAGGTTGAAAGCTGGTCATTCCAGACTTCTGTAATTATTGTGACCAAGCATTTCAGTTTCAAGAGCAGAAGTGAGACAAACCAGGTTCTGTCTGGTTGTGGTACTAGGATTGACCAAGTATGGCAGGTGTCGTCGATGAAGTAAGAGATGATTTCTACTCCGAAATCACTGGTCTAATATTTTTGTAATTGTTTAGGGATCGCTGAATAATACTTTCTTTGGTTGACATCATTGTATATTGCTTGTTGATTTAGAAAGACCTAAACCAGTCAAATAAATAATTCTTTGGGATTTCAATATAGGATATTGAATTTAATATTATAACCTGTGTACATACACGTGAACCGTTGTCACTTTTGATCGGCATAATGACGGGCATGGAATGCTTAAATAGCTTAAATTCTATCAACAAGGCTTATCGTATTATTAACCTCAATGGACTGCACAAAGGAAAACAAATTCAAACAACAAGATTTATGTTAGAGCCATTGTTTTAAACACATGCAATTAGATAAAACCCATAGAATAGATACAGTAGAACCAAATCATGAAGTAAACTACATCATGCCGTTGCAAAGGTTCTACATTTGGTAAATCGCGCAAATTTAGGAGGTTACCGAGGACAATTGGTCAAAGAGAAATAAAAAATAAAAAGTTCATAGTAGTTGACAGTGAATACATTTACCAATTGAATTGATTAAACTGAAATCAGCTTAAGATAACATTGCCAATATTTATGTATTGTGCCGAAAATGATTTTAATCCTACCTTTTTAGTAGCCCACGGGCAAAATATACTCAAGAGAAACATGCCAGAAAGTGGCCCGGCAAAACAGGTGAGGAATGAACCGCTTATCTGAGGAAAAAGGAAATATATCCTTGGATTGTTATTTCGTTGGAATATGAATGGCAGCATGTACAATAAGAATTATCAGTTTTATAAATGTCCAATAGATATTTAAAAAGGAAAATGAATTGATCTTTGATTGGTCGGTTGGCGAAGTGTTGTAATACATCCGCTTTCCACCTAGAAGACGTGAAAAGGTATGGTGTCACCTACCCGACCACGTAGGTTATCCCCGGGTACTGACGTGAAAAGGTATGGTGTCACCTACCCGACCACGTGGGTTATCCACAGGTACTCCGGTTTCCTCCTATATTAAGACTTGCGCACTTTCGAGCAAGCCAACAAGAGTGATCGATATAAGCTTAAAACTTGTATTGCAAGTACTGTAAAATAGTTGAAGCTATTATATCTTACATCTTGGACGTTGATATCGTAATCAGCTAATCAATTGTTTCCCCAAAGTATATAAACAAATGCCACAAAGAATTGAATAATGATTTCAAAGCATATGAAAGGAATATATACCGTTTGAATGTCCATGTCTTTCCATGTTAAACTGTACGATTAATGGGTGAAACTTTAGCTTTGCTCTCACTTTGAGAACGTGACACTAATTTCAGTCACCGACAGCTCCATATGATTTGTGAAATGTATGTGATGAATTACAATTAGATATCATAATTCAAGTTGTATGACTTTTTCATTGTGCTTATTTCAATAGTAAATGTGAAATACTTGATGAGAAAACATGGTTATGTGGTATCAAGAAACAGACAGCAATTCTCACGCACAAATATCAAGATGACATTAGTTAAAGGCGTAACTTCGTGTTTAGCGCAAATGCAGTAATTGATATAATGTATGCCGTGAAGACATCTGTTAATGGAGATAGGGGTAGGACATTTATACACATGTCTATTTTACGTATAAGTACACTTGTTAGACCTTGCTCTATATTCTGATAATAAAGATGACTGTAGACATTGGTAAGTTATCATTCAATATATAACTACGCACTCACCTGACTTAGTGATCCCGATACACTGGCTGTCAACGCCGTGATTGTTATAGAAAGCCCTCCATAGATTATAACTAAAATGTATGATTATTTCGTTACTGAACGACATCAATTTTATATAAAAATCAAACAACAACTTCGTCAAAATGATGTACTTGATAAAGACAATGTCCAAGAAAACACATAGAATTAGGAAACTCCATACCTGATAGCTTTGCGATGGCTGTGGCTTTCCCGTCGGACAAATGCTTATACCGGGGTTTGATGAAATCTTCAACTGTCTGAGCGCTCAAACAACTTAGTCCTGATGAAATGGTACTGTAAGAGGCGAAATAAGATACATAAAAACAGGTTTTAATTATAAGACTTCTATTTGTTTGTATTGATTCTTAACATTCTCAAAAGTTTTAAAATATCTTTCAGTAATAATTCTGAATAAGATTTACGGAAAATAATAGGTTTTGATGTACGCTATTCAATACTTTGATGAAGCAATTTTACCTTAAAGAGGCACTGAACAAAGAAGCAAGAAACAGTCCAGCGAGTCCAGGAACTCCATGGAATAATCTCACCACCATATATGGTAGTAACTGATATAAGACAAAACTAAATCAAAACTTTGAAATGATCTACCGTTACATTTTATGGTCGTAATTTCTTTGTGTGACATGAAGTTGGACATACTTGATACTCGTTAGTTTGCCTGTTCGTTTCGTTGTTGTATACCTTGTTCTCATTTGCGAACGTGACATCACTTAACTGGAATTGACCAAGGTTTACATGGCGGGTGAAACAGAAGACGCTTATTCTTCCGAAACACCTGGACTCATTCTCCTATAACTTTTTCAGGAGTCTCCGTGTAAATCTTTCTTTTGCCATAGTTTTATAATTTTTATGTTTGAATTATGATTATGTTGGCATTCTATTGATTTTTTTTATTGTAGCTTATACACAATCTCTATCACCAAATGTAATTTAACTATTCAGAGAACACCCTCATACACGCATCTTGATTTTGACTTTTGATTTCTTTGGATTTGGTTGCCTCCTAGGCTTCAAATATTCGGCCCTTAGCATCACTGACGAATCCTAGAAGGACAAAACAGCTTACAGCTGTAGTTTAATTCTTTGTTTGACTTTATCTCAGTCTAAATTATGAAATGGTGTCATCACTTGTGTGTCTTTTGTACAATATTCTAACTATAGTCTAAGGTAATAGGTAGTTTCGAATCTAAAGCAATGCACTCCACCAAAACCTATATTTATTTTATTTTTTGTATCTTATCAATTATAGAAGAAAGAAATTTACCTGGTTGGCATTCCTGATAATTCCAGCCTCTACAGGATCACATCCTACTATGTTGAAGTACGCAAACATCACAAGTCCCTCAATGTTTACGATAATACCAAATATGAGGAATACTGGTCCAGATAACCATAAAATTCTGGAAAAGGTAAAAAATCCCAGTTGCATTCATAACAAAGATAAAACCTTCCGTTAAATAAGCGAAGATATTAATTCTAACATAATTATAGATATATAAAACTATTTCAGTACCACAGAGAAAGAAAAAATCATCTGATTACTTTTTTTCAACATTTGTCAATCGTGACAACTTGGTCGAAGTCATCTATCTTACATACAGCTAAAGATAGAGACATAGCCTGTAGCCGTCCTATAAATACACAAAAGCTCTATGATAAACGTGCATTTATTCGAAGGCGACATGAATTTCATTCAGGAGAGTCACAGAGATAACAGATTGGATAGCAACAAGATTTAGAACATGTACGTATGATGAACAATAGAATATAAAAGAAATCTTTATGAAATATATATACATGATATATCTTTAAAATGGATGTACTTGCCCTATGCAATAAAGACTGAAAATGTATATATAACTTCTTATCTATTCATGCTGTCTGATGTTTATCTTTAGATCGCCAATTTGCAAATCTAATGAATTTTCAATCAACATTTATCACACTGTTATATGAATCTGGACGGGGATATTGAGTCAATGTGTCATCTCATGAAGACATCCTGTGGCATAGGAAAAACACTGTGTCATCTGATTATATCATGCTGTTATATAGATACATTACTGTGTTCTCTGATTATATCATCCTGTTATATAGATACAGCATTGTGTTCTCTGATTATATCATCCTGTTAAATAGATACATCATTGTGTCCTCTGATTATATCATCCTGTTATATAGATACATCATTCTGTACCTGAGGATTTACATTTCATATGTACCTGAGGATGTGTATTTTATATGTACCCGGGGATGTACATTCTATATGTACCCGAGGATGTACATTCTATATGTTCCCGAGAATGTATATTCTATATGTATCCGAGGATGTACATTTTATATGTACCCGAGGATGTGTATTTTAAATGTACCTGCGGATGTGTACATTCTATATGTACCCAAGGATGTACATTCTATATGTTCCCGAGGATGTATATTCTATATCTGATTATGGCATGTTCTTATATAAATACATTTTGAGTCCTCTGATTAAATCTTGCTGTTATATAAATACATCATTGTGTCCTCTGATTATATCATCCTGTTAAATAGATACATCATTGTGTCCTCTGATTATATCATCCTGTTATATAAATACATCATTGTGTCCTCTGATTATATCATCCTGTTATATAGATACATCATTGTGTCCTCTGATTATATCATCCTGTTAAATAGATAAATCAATATGAACTCTGATTACAGTTTTCTGTGTAGATAAATAATTGTGTACTCTAATTATATCAACTCCTTATAATTATGAAGGAAAAAGATAGTTGGCAAGACGTGTTTTAAATGAGATATCAATTCCAGATTGGCCACATGTTACATAACATTTGTACCTGAGGATTTACATTTTATATGCACCTGAGGATGTATATTTTATATGTACCTGAGGATGTATATTTTATATGTACCTGAGGATGTATATTTTATATGTACCCGAGGATGTACATTTTATATGTACCTGAGGATGTATATTTTATATGTACCTGGGGATGTACATTTTATATGCACCTGAGGATGTATATTTTATATGTACCTGAGGATGTATATTTTATATGTACCTGGGGATGTACATTTTATATGCACCTGAGGATGTATATTTTATATGTACCTGAGGATGTATATTTTATATGTACCTGAGGATGTATATTTTATATGTACCTGAGGATGTGTATTTTATATGTACCTGAGGATGTATATTTTATATGTACCTGAGGATGTATATTTTATATGTACCTGAGGATGTATATTTTATATGTACCTGAGGATGTGTATTTTATATGTACCTGAGGATGTGTATTTTATATGTACCCGAGGATGTACATTTTATATGTACCTGGGGATGTACATTTTATATGTACGTGAGGATGTTCATTTTATATGTACCCGAGGATGTACATTCTATAAGTAACCTAGGATGTATATTCTACATGTACCCGATGATGTACGTTTTATATGTATCCTAGGGCACAGGTCGAATTTGCCAATTTAAACCAAATGCAAAAAACTAATGACAGATAGATAATAAGTTGTATGTCCACGACTCTATCTGTTCATTATTAGGCTCGAGAAAAGTTCTTACTTTTTCGCTTCAGAAAATGTGTTGACAGAACTGATGCGCTGCACCGTTGCCTGATTGAAGGCCACTCCCATATACCCAATGATTGATCCCACAAAGAGAGGCCAAAATGTGTGACGGACCGTCGGGTCAGGATCAAAACTAAAATTCACAAAAAGTAGAAATTATATCACATACACTTCCATCTTGTATTGTCATGACTCATCAATTATCTATTTATCTAGGTCAGTATAGGATTGTACCGTATGGCCACACTACTTGGCTGATATCAATCGATTTTATTATATTTGTATGCACGATGCACCCCAGAACATATATTTCTTGTCAGTCTTTTTTCTGATAAATGTACACCGAAAAGTTGTGAACAATTTCCTTTCGGATTCCGATATATTTTCTCTAAAAACCTATTTAAATACTATGTTTCAATTCTTGTGACACCAGTTTGAATTATACTTGTCTACTTAAAACAATATCTCAGGTTTTGTTTAAAATCATATCGTAATTGTACATCGATTTGACATCTTTACATGATTTGTTTGGGTCGACACTTCAGCCAATATTTTGATCCCTAATGATGTAGTTTTCGCTTGTGTAGCTTTCCGAGCAATGATGAGTGTACCGTGTTTATTGTTTTAGTTTAAAATGTCTTTATATTCATAAAGTACTTTTTGCCGTTACATACTTACTTAAAGAAATTGATTCGGAGGTTATCGTAATTGATTTGTAAGACCTTTCCGAAGTCTCCTACATCCATGGTGCCCTTTAACAAAATGAAGCACTTGTAAGAAAACAAACAGAAAATACCAACATATGAACAGAATCATATTCCAAGCACGAATGCAATAAAACTAGGAATAAAATAAAAACAACAGAAAAAGATTACAAGGCGACACATGAAAAATACAGGGAGAATGAAATAAAGCGTGCCGGAAGAGTAAGCGTCTTCTGCTTAACCAAGGCAACAGCATAGTTAAATCTTGGTCAATCCTAGTAAGTAATGTCATGTTGTCAAATGAGAACAAGGTATACAACAAAAGAACCAACATGCTAACTAACGATTATCACACACGTCCAGCTTCATATCACACAAAGACAATAATATGGTACATTTTGGTTTGGTTACTTCTTTGCTCTCTTTATGCATTCTGTATTGTACTTGAGATGGAAATTGTTCGGGGTCTTCTTTTAAAGTGAATGGCAGAAATATAACATAGTACCAAACCTAAACTGGCTCTACATAGAGGAAAATAGTACAAATTATTTGTATATGTATTTTCATGTCTATTGTTGTTATTCCTTGCTGCCCGCCATATTGGAAAACAATGTGCGCATAGTTTGATCACGTATATCAGCTATATGAAGCTTTAGCTCGGAAATTGCGATCACAACATTTTGGAAGAACATCCATACGGTATCGATATAAGATTGTTCATTTTTATCAAAAGCTAGTTGATATTTCTGATGTCTGTTTACTCTGTTTTATATATGTATACACCACATATCAACTCTGTATCAGTCACAATAGATACCTTGACGATTACAACAATCATCCCAATTGTCATAATGAGGCATTGTAAAACATCTGTCCACACGACCGCTTTCAGGCCGCCCTGTACAGAAATAAAACAGAACAAAATGATAAATCTGTTCAACAAAAACCGCCTTAATTTTCCTCCGTACAAACGTATATATTGAGACGTTGTAGTAAATCAGTCCACACGACCGCCTTGAGTCATCCACGTCAGAGATATATTGAGACATTGGTGAACGTCTGTCCACACGAACCGCCTTAAATCTTCCACATACAGAGATATATTGAGACATTGGAATACGTCTGTCCACACGACCGCCTTGAGTCATCCACGTCAGAGATATATTGAGACATTGGAGTACGTCTGTCCACACGACCGCCTTGAGTCATCCACGTCAGAGATATATTGAGACATTGGAGTACGTCTGTCCACACGACCGCCTTGAGTCATCCACGTCAGAGATATATTGAGACATTGGAGTACGTCTGTCCACACGACCGCCTTGAGTAATCCACGTTAGAGACATATTGAGACATCGGAGTACGTCTGTCCAAACAACCGTCTTGAGATATCATCTTACGGAGAAATATTGAGATATTGTAGTACGTCTGTCGAAACAACCGCCTTTGATACGCCCTGTCCTGGTGTATACCATGTAATAGACGTTTGTGGTTCATATTGAATTTGTTTATTTTTTCTGCTGACATTCAGTGCTCAAGGATACCGCCCAAAACAGTTCAACGCTTTTAAGGAAAATTTTCAACTATTTTCATCATGTTACAAGGGAATGCAATTTCTACAAGGGAATGCAATTTCAAATTACTTAACTTATCCAAAGTGTTCTGTTGACAGTCACTGAGCTGGTTATACACAATTGACTTACGTAAGTTGACATCCTAGCCAAGTCATACATGGGTATGTATTATGAGTTATTAATTTAAACGTTAACGATTTAATACGCTGATTGAAATTTTATGTGATGACTATTTTATAATGACAACAAACTTACTATAGAGGTGTAAATGATGGCTGTCCCTGCTACGGTGAATACAGAAGCCCAGAATGGAAAATCTGTCACTGAATACAAATAAATGTCATTATTATGTAAAACCTTATATCAAAAAGGAAATAATATAACAACAACTAAAACCAATCTTAAATCGATCTTAAAATTGATAGATTGGTGGCAAAATATGAGCAAAAGGAAAATCCAACAGTGACTTTTGATTAATGCAAAAAGAAAAAGACCATGTAGTCCAGAAGGGTAACTGCGTTCTTCTTCTTTATCAACGACAATGATGATACTATACAATCTAGGTATGAATAAATTGAACAAAAATTACAATGAAGACATTTAAGCATAACCGTTATTATACAACCTAGTGGAAAGGATCCCTTGTTGGTCAAAATGTTAAGAAGGGAAATTTTGTTTCTGATTATTCATTTTAGTACGTATAAAGTATGTGACACACTTTTTCTGTTATTTTCATTTCTAATGAACTGACCTGCTTCTAAAGCTATAGCTGGGCCATAAAGAACAATCCCCATGTAAAATATCTACAACAAAAGCAGGCGAAGTTATTCAAGATTATCCGTAAAAGTATTTGTTCTAAATATCACAGAGGTGTAATTTTGATTAAATGTCTGTTTCATATGTTCCTCAAACATAGTACTTAAATGCAAGAATATCTACATACGTGTTGAACATTATTCAGCTATTTATAACTTTTTTGTTTACCTGGGTACATTATTCCAAGATTCGAAGAAAGAATTAAATTCATTGGCTGGTGTTTGTGGAAATCTTATGGAGTTAATGAGCTTTCCCTCAATCTCTCGTCTGATTATGATAGGTAATTAGTGAAGGTACGAATACAGGACTATCAATATTTTACAGAAAGCTCAAGCCATACTTTGTACTGATGCATCCCAGGGTGATAACGTGATCCTTAATGATACGAGGGCTGATTGATGAAGCAGGGATGTCCTTTCTTCAGCTCTACTTTTCCCCGACTATCCAAGTCTGTGTACCCGAAGACTGGTGTCATATGACTAGTTTATGGCGACAAGGTAGCACTCTAAATTAAACAAGGCAAGTGGCTTTTGCGAAATGGAAAAACAATCACTGGAACCGCAGTGATTCAATATTTGCATAAAAGGTCTAGCACCTAAGAATATCCATTCTGATACGGTAGCTACACTAAGGAATGATGCCCCTTCATATGCTACAGTGAGAAGTTAGGTGGCGGAAATCGAGAGTGGTAAGTAGAGCCTAGACCCCCATCCTTGAAGGTTATGACCTCATTTTTCAGGTATATTGACAGTATTCTGATGGAAGATTATCTTCAGAAGGGACAAACAACCAACGCCACGTATTTTGCATCAACTATTAACTATTATATCATTATTATAGTTAAGAGAAAACATTTAACTCAAGTGCCGCGGAAAACTCAATAAAGGTGTGTTGTTCAACCAGGACAATGCGCCTGTTCACATGTCTATCATTCTCATTACGGCCTTTAACGATTGTGGTTTTGAATTGATTTGATTGAGCATCCGCCTTTTTCGCCTGATCTTGCTCCAACAGACTTTCATCTATTTCCAAAATTGAAAAGAAATGCCATTCCTAGTACAAACAATCGGTCAGGTGATACCGTCATTCATGCAGTGGATGCCTTTCAAAACGGCCAAGAAAAATACTTCTCTAAAAGTGGTATTGAGGTCCTTAAACATCGCTTGAAAAGTCTATAGATAGTGAATGGGATTATATTGAAAAATAATGCAATATGTCCACCAAAAGTCAAATCCTTAAATGTGAAGCTCATAACTTATCAATCAGCCCTCATACACAGCAATGTTGCCTGTAATTGTTAAATATATGAAAATATCATATCAACGTCAGACTCAATTTAACAGCATGATATCCTCTGCGGTCTATGACTGCGGACCCGATAGGTAGAGGCATATTCAAGGGTTATTGTTATATAAAGGACACACACTTAACTAGCACCACTTAATACAAATTTAGAATCAGGCAGAGTAGAACTAAACTATCAATTTAACTGCATCATACTCGTGTTTCATACTTCTAGGACGCGTCCGTGATGCTGAGGGGATCAATTCTGAAGCCAAGGAGGCGACTGTGGAAAATCCAATAAGATCGAATGAATTGTTAAAATCTAGATGGTAAGATGTACTAGCCTCATAGTTTAATAAATACCGTAATTTCGATTTATTGCTTTGATACTCATTGATATGAAAAAGATCTTTTGCAATCTTACGCCAATGAAAATCGAGAACACAAATTATCCGATTAAATTGATAAATAATTAAGCCCATTACAAAAAGACACAAAACCTGACAACTGAAGGGTTTGGTTACATATGACACGACCTTCAGTTGCATGGTAAACGAATGTGGAGCTAACACGTTAAACATTTCAAAGGGATTATTGTCATTAAAAGCGATAACCATACTTTCAGCTGCGTAGTAACTTGTCACGTATTAAACGTTCTTTGAACGTTATACGCAAATTTAGACTTTTAGTGACATGAATAAATAACATTGAATTTACATTGAAAACTAATTTTGGATTTACATATTCTAATCAATGTAATTTTTTTTGTATCCTTGACTCATGATGCGTACTCGTGAAAGATACTAAAATATTAGACACACATGTAGAATATATTTGTAATAACTGATGACACCATTAGATATAATCTACATATAAGTTTAGAAGTACGTCTTGGACATGTGTCTATTTTGAACCGTGCCATTACTTAAGATGAATCGTAACATAGCCTGGAGTACCTCAGGTACAAAAAGACGATATATTATTTTTATTTATATAGTTTTATTACGGTTCTTGATACTAAATTATAAAATATTATAATTTGAGGTGATGCATCGTCATGTCATATTTGTATTACCTTGTGTATATTAGTAGATTATATTCTTTTATTTTCTACAATATATAATTATCTCTAATCCTACATCAGTGTGTTATACCTTATCATATATTATCACTATATGCAGTATAAATGTGTATAATATCATATGAAATGAGTATTAACGTGGATAATTCATTATGATATACGCAGTGTGGTGCTTTGTCATAGTATCATTGTGCTATGTTTATTATTATTACAAACTAGCCGGAAATAGATATTTATATTTTATTTCTGTAAAAAAAATAATAAAAATGTAAAAGAAATAAAAACAGCTGCGTTTTAGCCTGTTTCTATTTATAGACTATAATTTCAATTCATTTTAATTAATATAATAGGAAAATGTACACAATCATCGTACTATCTCTCCGTCCTCGGCTCACGTAAATAAGAGCTGAGGTTATCAGTATATTAGTTACAGCATTTATTCAGCTACCAAAAAGCGTCGTGCAACATACATACAGAAATATTGTAAATATCCATGATAGTGAAAAATAGTACATTCTAGTAATATTGGTTTGGATCAAGCTTAACTCATCTTCAATTACTTAATAATATTTAATATATATATCAAATATTTACTAAAGGTTTGTTAAAGAAGGCTTGGCTTGGAACCTAAATAGCGTATATTTCAGTCAATAAAACTTGCACAATGTCCCTGTCTTATCAGGTCATCTAATCTATTAAAGTTGTATTTAGACCAGTTGTTTCATATTTGTTACGGCCATTAACATACATATTAGCGTTATCTTATGAATATTTCATAAGTAGTTCTGATACCATGTGATCTGTGCTGAAGTAGCAATAATCCTATTGATTACCTGCCTTACATCAATAGTAAGAAAACTTATAGACAGTACATCCCTGTAATGAACACAATGACACGACACCTTTACACAAAGTACATATGAAGTCTTTCTTGGTCAATAATCCACGATATCAGTAAACAATGAAGACAATACCAAAGCATGCAAAGTCACGAAATGGTTTTTCAAACATAAATGAAATAATAAAAAAAATGCTGGAAAGTATCTTCTTGTGAACGTATTCGATATAAAAATATGCACAGTGTTACAAAAAAACATTGAAGAGTTTAAGGAAGTACTAGAAATATGAATTTTACTCACGTAATACAACATTCCAATAACAGTACCTAGTGTGCGTGGTGTTTTGCTTTTATATCGCAGTTCGAAATACTGAAACATAAACAGATATACTATGATAGCTTGTGGTCTAGATTTTATGCGAGTGAAATGTCAAAATTAATTATTTCACATGACTACCACGAAGATGAAATAAATCATAAAAAAAAACCACCGTGCACGTGCATATTATTTCAAATTCGCTTTAGATTATTAATCTGTTTATTTTCCAAATACATATTGAATAAAAGATAGATAAGTGGTACATTGTTCTGTTGACTCCCAAATACACGGAGATGATGCTAGGGGGTCAACGCGTTGTAGATTCAGAAGAGTAGCTATACATATTTTTTTATTGCTTTTGTCAATATCACTAAAGGGCATATATTGTAGAAGTCACCAATATTTTCTTCCGTATAAACCTATTAACAAATTCTCGAGGATTATAATTTGAACATTACTCATGAATCACGGTACAAATGAAAATTGAATCGCGTTCTAAAGTTTTAATTAATAAGAATTTCTCATGAGATAATACGAAAAGTCGTTTGGTATGTTTCATATCAAAGGGAGATAACAAAGCAGTCAACAATGCTCAAGTAACCAACATGACACGACGTCATTTTTTTCAAAAAACTGCTGATCGGAGTTAACAAAAGATATATCATTTCTGTCGTCAGAATTCCTATTATGGATTTGGCTATTACCTGCAATGTGAATAAACGACTTTTTGTCAAGGTGTAAGAGAATCGATATATTGTTAAAGAGGCGGAATAGCTTCAATTATGGTCACTGCCAACGCATGTCGTTTTGTCTTGTTAAGTGAGTTTAAAGTTAGATATAACAGATTATTTCCATGTATTGTCCGAAGCCTAATTTGATATATAATATCTAGAACTAGCCAACTTAGGGGTACATTTTTTGGTCGTCAATATTCGTGGATGTTTTTTCATTTGGAACGGATAAAATAATTTGTTTATTAAATTATTAATACACTATTTACTGTTTATTTATTCTTGGTTACATTACCTCAAATACACTCGTGAGCTTGAGAGGATGAAATAATGGAACTGCTACTCGTGTGGCAAACAGCATGGTTATCATCAACCCCACACTGGCCCAAATAAGATCACCGCCATAAATATAAATTTCTGCGGGGAAACCCAGAACCAGAATAGAGGACTCAAAGGATACTACGAGTGAGAACGCGACCGGTAACATCTTCAGCCGTCGATTCCCAACCAGATACTCCAGGGTTGTCTTTTGTCCTCCACCGGAACAGGCGGAATACACACCTACAGTAGTATATAAATGTACAATTCCTAGCATATAAAGGCATGCAACGATAAAGAAGTTATACATTTTTGAAATATACAAGGTTTTATGGTGGGAATGTAATACATAAATAACAGTGTTTACATGTTTAATCAATGTGTATAAATGTGCCGATCTTACTTTATTGGAATTTGATCAATAATTTTATTCATGTGTTGTCTTCACTTACTTAATGTTAAAGCATTCAAAGACAACAAAGAAAATAGAAACATGTGAGTAATATCAAACTTCAAATGTTAATTAAAAACAAGAAAATGACAATATGTCAACAATATAATATTCCAAATTCAAATTCAATTAAAAAACAACAAGAAAATAGCAACACGTCAACAATTCAGAATTTAATAAAAAACAAAAAAACAAAAATATATCTTATCTTGCATACTATATATATAACCGTATCCTGACCATAGACAACATAAGATTTTAGATATTTTTTCTTATGGGATTCAACAACACATATTGACTGTACACATTGATTCCATAAAACACGTCATCAAACTTATTCCCAAAACCATTGAATACTGATCGGACAAATGATCTCAACATACTAGGAAAGTGAAATATCACTTACGATAAAAAAGGAAAAAATGCAAACATGGTTTCATTAAAAGAATGCTTGATATCCATAGATAATAATCTTTTCGAGAACGAGGCTATCGCAACTCACCTATCCCTATGGAAAATGATATCATTCCAGCAAATATGACGTAGTCTATAACATGGAAGCCAAACTCTGACGCTGAAAGGGAATTAATTTTAAGTACGCAATCATGAGCGCATTATGGTGGGAATGGGATCCTAAAAGGGCATATTGAAAGATCGTGAAATCCGATCTTAGTCGATACATATTAACAGTAATTGCTTTCTACCCTGTTTACGAAAATAGAATGTCATAGAAATGATAAGGAACTTTTATGGAACAAATGGAAATTCTCACCACAGACTTAGATATTGATATCTTAATCCTGACCAAGAATATATATATATATATATATATATATGTGTGTGTGTGTGTGTGTGTGTGTGTGTGGGTGTGTGTGTGTTTAGAATACATGGTCAGTGTCTCAAAATATAAGCTGTATTTTGGAGAGGAGAGGGTGGAGAAAGACATAAGTGGAGAGTATCACTTTTGTCTTCCTCCTCACTCGCCAAAATACAACTTATATTTTAAGACACTGACCATGTATAACGTTTTCCCTGCAGCATTGATTGAAAACGTCAGCAGTTTAGTTGTTTAATCCTTTTTTCTATCATTAACGCTGATTTTTGACTGAAGACATTCGCCAAAATAATTGCTCCGCCCTGAAATGTAGTTTGAAAGTTTGAACAGATATGACAGCGATTTTATTAATTTTCGTAAATAAACTAATTAATTACAACAAGGAAAATCTCTTATTTCAACAGGAATATACATATTTCTATACGTAATATTTAAGTGAATTCAGAAAAAATAAATCTGTCAAATTACCACACATGCTAAAATACAGCTGTTTTCCGTCATTGCCGAATACAGCAAAATTATATCTGACAGGTGTATTCCGACAATGACAGTGCCAGTTACATGATAGAAATATCTTTATCCTGACCTCAGATTTAAAAACATCGATATCTTTTTCCTAACAACAAACGTATATATATGTATCTGTGTCCTGATCTCTTACGTGAATATAAGACAAAAACAAATATTACTGACCACAAAAAGGGGGGAAAAGTCCTCATAATTAAACGATATTTAAAAAAAATAAAAAAGATACTTACGCATGTTGGGATTCTAATTGTCTTTCCCTTCTAAACTAGACAAATGGGTATACATGGAATGTCTTATTATACTTTACACTGCTTATCAGACTAATGCAGTTTATTCCGTGTCACGAAAATTCGTACAAAACTATTACAAGGTTTTGTTTGTTAACAGTGCATCGACCATCTCTTTATAACACTAAACACTAACAGAAAAGCAAAGCCATGACTACACTGACTTTTTGACTCCGGTTGCTTAAAGATTAGTTCATGTTAACCAGTGGTTAGTGAAAACTCGAATTGTTCCCACTGAACAAACAGAGTCTTAAAAAGCAGACATAACACATAAAACGTAAATTTGACCTTTCTCAATTAATTCATAGCAGTGAATATTTTAAGAGTGCAAGCAATTTTGTTTTCTCACAATTAAAAAATCCACAAACCAATGGTTATCTCTAACCAGTCTTTGAACAACTGGGGCCTGGTCACCAAATCTGACCTTAGATAAATGTTATATGCGAATAAGAATATATTACCTCTGCCGTACATAAATGAGAAATCAAAAAAGCATTCCGAGCCTCGAGTCATGTATGGTATCAATTATTTTAACAAGGGCTGAACAGTCCTACAAATTGATGTGTTAGATACACATTAGCGAGAAAACAATGAATACAGCTACAATAGAAACAACCATTAGTATTAGAAATATGATTGTCTGCATAAAGTCAGAATTTGATTTTAGTTTTGATAGGATTTTCACATTTTTCCCATCATTCGTAAATTTTGCTATTAACGTGCTGCTTTTGCTGTTTGAAATATATTTTTTTACAGAATAATTACTTTCTATAGTTTTAACAAACATATTGATGATAATGAAACTGTGTAAATGTCCTGTTTTGTAAATGTAGTGTTTAATGATCAAAATTATTTCATTATTGACTCGAAGACTAAGGATATTATAGTTAGTAATTCCAAACAGAACAGATTGCTGAAAGAACACGGTCTATCCAATGCATCTGTAAGTGTTTCAGAGTAACATAGGTTGTATACAGGACTGATAACTAACTTTGCTTTAAACAGCCTGGAGTTGGTATTTAGAATGTTATGAGTAATACTGTATCACAGCCATTAAATGTTAGTATATTTGTTACTTTAAATGACAATTTATAGTTAGCTTCACAGGCTTTGTTGGTTAATACAGATAGCTCCCCCAATTTTTCTCTACCAGTTTGCGTTGCCCGAGTTACATTTTTGTATTTTTTAAAGTTAAAAACCTTTTCTGATTTCTCAAAAATGTCTGAATATAGAAAGGTATTATGGGCTACACCACAGTATTCTCTAATAGTAACGATCGGAAATCAATTTCTTAACAGAAGACACTAACCCTTGATATTTTTATGGAAATTAGTTGTTATATGCTTTTACAAAATCTTCAAAACATAAAAACGATACAACGTTATCAGACTCTAACAATTTCACTACAGTTGTTACTTCTTTTCTATACCACTGATTGACTGGTTTGTCTAATAGAGTAATACTCCTACTGAATCAATTAGGTGTTTGTAATACTGATTTTTCTTTATCAATAGTGGTTTCTATAATCTGTAATTTATGCCTAGCTAAAACACGTCTTTCAAAAAACTATGAGTTTAATTCCTATGGTAAAATAGCAACACATCAGTGTTTACTGTACTATTTAAAACTAAAAAACACTTGCCTGGTATATGAAATAGTCTTCTAACCCCACTTAGTTTTAACTCATTTGCAAAAGGACTTATATCAATATATTTCAATCCCCTATTTATGAAATCTTGAACAACAGTTTCTCTCTTAATCTTATTTACTTTACTGTTTCATAGGAACTCAAATAAGATGGAGCTAATCTTATTGGGCGTTTTGGGTAGAGCTGTAATTGTGATATAAAAATTTAATCAAGTGTATCTCCCCTAAACTAGTATTTTCAATGGTATTTTAGCTTTGCAATTTTCTTGTCATAATCAACAGCTTATATTTGTCTCTGTAATAGGCCCTAATTGAACCACACGTGAGGATTGACTGTTTGAGGAAACTGGAAAACCCAAGGAAAATTATTGTCCGTTTCCTTTTAAAGTTCGATTGGGGAATCTATGGTCGACTATGCGAGAGGCGAATGTATCAACACTGCGCCATCCGACCAGTGAGTTAGATGTCGATATTCACAGAAAAATTACTGAGCGAGAACAATAGGCAAAGATAACACACACACCATCTCCTTCTCCCTCTTTATATAGATGGTGTTGTCACATATTACAGAAACGTAATAAAGGAAAAAACATATTGTCTACTGCTGAAGTGCAACATGTCTACTTCCGGCCCCTGTAGGATATTATGCTTCAGCCATTTATTAGGTGGGTGCCCAAACAATAGGAAATAACTCATAATTTGAATACATAGCATCAATGTATATGCAACCACAAAGTGAGAGCAGTCATAAACTATAAAGTATACAGATTAATCATTTTGCTGTGGTCTTCCTTAACACATTTTACTTATTCAAGTGCAAATGGGTAACGACTGTATCTACGTATAGAAATAACGTATTTTAGAAAGGAATTTGCTGTTTCATATTTAATATTGTCCCAGAGACATTGAATAATGAAATATGTGGAAACAATTCGATTATCTTAATGCTTACTTATCTCACTAAATTACAAACTATATCAGAAAGAAAAGTACATTCGTTTTAGTGTTTTTTATGTCTATTCTTTTACTAATTTAAGAGCACTGTATAAGAAATTTGATAATTGAATACCAGTGTTGGACGTAACAACTTCACCGTGAATATAGTTAAAGAGTGCTCTTATTTCTCATGTTACTGGTTTCGTTTCGCTCTACTTACCTCACACATATCCCGAGTTTCTGAATTCGTGTTTCTGTGTCAGTCGAGTGAGAAGGACAGCTTATGAAATGTTAGGAGGATTATTTTGCTTTGTTGTCATATCAATGGAAATTGCTAAGAGACAGATGATAACATATAAGCGTGAAAGACTGGCAATCATGGATTTTTATCGCTGGTAACTCGTGCATGTGTTATGAAGAGATGGGCCTCTTTTTCTGACAACGCGAGCTGGACTACAAATATTCTGTCTATAACGATACACTAGCAGGTGGACTGTAGAGACAGAAACTTCCGTCTAACTTAACGCACTGTAAAGTCAGTCATAGCGAATACTTCCGTACACAAACATTAGAATCAGAAGGAGAACCGTTTACAGATAATCTCCCATCTTTGAATCTTGATATTAGAAATCATGAGCATAATCAGTACTGACTGCAGTAGATAGAATGGTGGATTTACTTGTTTCTGATAACGCTATAGAGTGACAAACTATACGACGTACAACATTGGAGTCTGTTACACATGGGAGAATACATTATTTGGGTGTTGAATGGACTTCAGTATAGATAGAGTTGTGCAACTGTTGATGTTGTGTTTGAGTTGATGATGGCAAAGGCAGGTAGCCCCGACACATTATATGAGACCAGCAAGTTGAACTTTGAACACATCAAATATGGAGAACGTTGCCCGTTAACTAACTATGTTTTAACTCGGGTAAGTAATACATAACATGTGTGAAAACATTATGTGTTTGTCTGCCATATGATCATGTGACACTTTGATTTAACGGGAAGTCGGGTTTTCGGAGAGAGCTCGATTTTCTGTCTCATTAAGAAACTCGGAGATGATATTTTATTTATCACCAGGCATAGATAAAATAAGCGAAAGACTTCTTTTTACCATACGAATAGCATATCAAATATGTTTCCTTATCTTCCCAGTCCCCCACACTATTGACATTCCGTGTTTTTTTTTTTTTTTTTTTTTTAAATTCTGGCCATTATTTCAAGAATACATTATACATGTCTTCTTTTATGTCTCAGAGATATGACTACTGGGTTTGTTTGTCTCAATTGCTCACACTGTTAATACCACTAAACGGAATCCTTTCCAGGTTTCCATTGACAGAACATTTTTGTTCTTACCAACGGACGGAATCTCGTGTTTGTTGATTGTAGATACCCCTTATGACTTCCACCGAAATCGAAACCAGAATTTGTTTACCTTAGGTTCCAGCTCTATCCTGACCATGTACACTAATGTGGTCGTTTCCTAGCTTGAGGAATGGGCATAGAAACCTCTACCCGAGGAGATTTTTGACTGTCTATTCTGAGACTTTGCCAAGGGTTTAACTGTCAGGAATCCCCTCCAAGGGTAGTATTTTTGTCTGTCCTACCCTCAAGGCCGGGGATGATCCCTTTTCTATCCCGTTTCCCCTTAAGATAAATAAGCAAATACATATACCTGTGACATTATAACCATCAGTATAGTCTTTTGCACTTGAAACCGGGATTGACCCCGACATGTCATAAGAACGATATCAGTAACAATTGCACGAACCCGCAAAGTCACTTCTGTGTGCAGGCTGTCTTGTTGAGGTTAAAATAGAGATATCTTACCCTCACCGGAGGTGTGGATATTTCTGTCCAGTAGGGTATAAATTAGAAGCAGCAGTTTGCTTTTGGTTTTCCAATTTAGCCCTTTAGAGAAATTTGTTTACCTACGGTTCAAACTTTGTTCCTCTCACAGAAAACAATCTGGTATTGGCTAACATAAGGTTTCAATCCGTGCGACCAAATAACTTCAAGTTCCAGCTCTGTCCCTAAAATAGAACAGAATCAGGGATTTATTTACCTCAGGTTCCCACTCTGTCCCTATCACGGAACAGATCACGGAACAAAATCCATGCTTTGTTTACTTTAGGCTTCCACTCTTTCCCTACCACAGAAAATGGGGTGAACGCAGTTATTTTCTCTACCTATTGAATATGTTCATCATCTAATATTATCACACTTTTTTATTTCTAAGTTTGCATTGCTATTAAAAACACCTTAACGTCTCTTAACTGGTTAAGATAAAATGTTTATTTTTGTAAGTATAACGGTAACCTTCACAATGTGAAAAGATTTGATAACTTCGTTACA